CTGACTACATCCACAGACTGACCACAACTCCGACTGCGCAGACACACGGCGTGGTCCTGACTACATCCACAGACTGACCACAACTCCAACTGCAGATACAAAGTATAGTTCTGTCTTATATGTAGATGGACTGCAGTGCCAATGCACAGAGGCGCACAGAGCATTTCTGACGACACAGAAACACACTGCATAAGCAGGAACATTTCAACTCTGACTGTGCACACCAAAAATCAATATATTGCTGTATCATAAATATATAATGACATTGGTCAATTAGGGCCATCACCCATCTAATAAAGTGTACAAAGCACTATGCAAGCAAGTTATTTCTCTTTTTCCGTGCATCAGTTGTATAAGAATCACAATAGCATTACAGTAAGTACAGTACAGAGTACAGTAACACTTTCGCCTAATAGCAGTCTTTTCTTCAGAGCAAATTCTGTCTTCAAAAACAGTCAGACATTCAGAAACAGCGAGTTGAGAAAATCACGTAAAAAAATCAACATATCCCTAATTTTTTTTTACTTTGTTTTTTACATTGCTTAATATGCCTCTTAATATGCATTTTCACATGTCTCACATTTCCCATCAGTTTTGCTGAGCTACTGTGTTCCACCTTGTCTTATTTTAAGGCACTGAAAATTAAACCAACACATTTCTTTAAGGCTAGATTAAATTCATTTATCCTGAGAAATAACTTTAAACTATTTAATATGCAAAAAAACACATTTTCACCCCCAGAGGCTTGATATTTGGAAGGTTTACTGCATTTGTGCTACCCATGTGTTGCTGAATAGTGTTTTTTTCTGCTGTTGAAGCACAATCTGTTTTTAAGCCAGGCTTAAAGGTCATAATACTATAACATTTTGTGAATCTGCTCACCCTTGAGCAATGACATGGGCCAGGGCTGGTCAACCTTTTTAATTTAAGGGTTTAAGAGTTACCCTTAAATCACAGCTTTCTAAACACTTGAAACAATGTTGTTTTGAGCACTTAAACTGGCAATTTGTACAATTAATAGTTTAGATATCACCTGAAAAGAAAACATAATCACCCTCTGCAGGTTGCTCGCACATGCTGCAGTTGGCCACGTCTGAACCAATTAATTGAACCAATTAATAAATACTTACTGAATTGATTAAAAGTAATGCAAGTCTCTATTAATTGATGATTTAAGGCAGACCTTAAGAACCCGCTCCAGTGCTCCAGGACCAAGACTGCTCACTCTCGAAGCCATGAGCTACCTGACCAAACACTTTTGTTCCCTAATTAATGTAATGGGTAAAACATACACCATTTTGCTCGAGATAAGGACAATGCTGCTTCTGAAGGTTCCTCCTCAGCACTTGCTCATTTTTCATGTTCCGGAGGGGGAAGGGTTCACATTAGAGAGGTGATCAGCTGCCTGCCAGTTATTTGAGGGAGAAGGCACAAAAACAGCAAGAAAACATTATTTGGCTCCAACTGCAGCTGTTTTAGTCACAGTCTTGCTGCACATGTAATGAAGTTGAACATATTCAGAAGCTGTTACTTCCTGTTTAAAAGAACTCGTTGCACCTTTTGTGACTAAAGATTTGATTCAGTGGTGTTAAAGTCAGAATTTCATCCTGCTCTCTGCATGTTTTCTTTAAAAAATTTTCAGCTGGTTAGCGGAATACGGGAGCAAATGTAAACAGGACAAGACACTGGCACTGTCTTCTCACATTCACCACATTTTATTTTTGTAAACCTTTATTTACAACTTTATTTTTAAATTCTCTGGTTAGAAAATAAACATTTGCAATTTACTTCAGCTGCAGGGCGTTTTCAGGATTATTTGGAGGGAAGAGTCACTCACAGGCACAAAAACAGGATCCCCACCTGGGAATTGAACCCACAACCCTGTGCTCTGGAGTCCTGAGTCCTAACCTCTACACCACACTGGTGCCATGTGTGCTCAGGACAACTGAAACACACAATCACATTAAAACTGGTGATCTTTCTGTGTATTTTAGAATCACAAAACAGCCTTTTTAAAACTCTACATCATCAATTCTAGCCCTCACAGCTGTAAACCCTGTTATTTAACAGGGTTTACAGGCTGGAAAACATGATTCTGTATCAAATGTTGACAAAAAAAGGCACAATTCTGATGGATTATTTGTGGTTTTTAGTTTAAATAGTAGGAGAGATGGCCATTAAGATATTCTGGGAAGCTTTTATAAAGTGGTCCTGCTTCCAGTGATCAGACAGTGTAGGCAATAACACAACGCTGTCCTGTTTGTGACTCTGGGGTAAGTGAACATCAAAGCTAAAGGATAAACTCAGGGATATGTTTCCGTACTGAAAAGACTCACGCACAGCAGATAAAGCTCAGATACTCCATTCAGCACGTCACCGATCTTTCATCATGCACTCGTAGCCAAGCACAGCAGACACACCCCCTTTCAGAACACACCAGGACACACACGCAGAAAGGAACCAGCCCAGGTTCCAACCCCTGCGACTCTGGCCCACCTTATCCACACGGAGGAGAAACACCCTCCCCTCTACACCTGCAGCTTCAATCTCTACATCCTCACCGCTGGCCAGTATGTTACCCCAGCACCCTAGACCTAGCACCCGCACCCCCGCCACTTTATTGCAAACATTCATTTACTGCAGCTTGTATACCTGGTATACCTGAAACCTGACATGGATCAAATCCCCCTGCAGTGGGAGTCTTACTGCAATCTCTTCCAAGAACAGCTCAGATTGCAAAGCACACCCACAACCAGCACAAGATGAACACAAATGAACAGTATTCCTCTCTTCCCCACCCCACTTCATGATTGCCCCTTATTCATCACAACCTTCTCTTTACTTCAATACACTTTTTTTATGGCCAAAGGCAACAGTTTTTCAACAAAGGTCATCAAAACGTAGCCTGTCGTATTCTTCTTTCAGTTCACATTCACACATTATGTCTCGGTTTTCCCATGTGAACTTCAGGGCCTTTTCTCCCCACCTCTTCCCCTGATCTTTAGGCCCACGCTGCACGTCTCACAAAGACCGCAAACTTGACAGGTGCTTCACAGACAGGAGGGACCCCCCAGCCTCTCACAGGAAGGTGCAATACCTGAGCTGTGTGTGTGGGGGCGCTGGAGGATGAGGAGGCCGAGACCGGGCCGTTCATCCTTTCGTAGTACTGCCGCTCAGCTTCGTCATACCGGTGCTTATCAAACCAGATCTTCTCCTGGGCCAGGTACTCCGCACTCATGATGCTGTGAGGAGAGACAAGGGCAGGGGGGACAGGAGTCCACGTCAGATAGGAGCAGTAGACCACGAGCTGCGACATTCTTACTCAGCACGACTGGTCACGTTGCGGTGCTGTGCCAGAAGGTTGGAATATGTACAACGTAAACACAGAAATTAACCTCCAACTCTGACACACACTTGATTTTTCCTAATAAGAAAACAAAACAATTATGTTAATTCAAGTGCCTATACACTCTGGGCAGTTTCATTGCTTCTATTGGGTTTTTTTAAATTGGTGACTTGGTTTTGCTTTAACAAATATCCTCCAAAAGCTCACAAGACCACAACACGAGTCTCACTTGCTTCACCGTTAAAAACAAATCTCCTCCCTCTTTCTAAAGCCACAATGCTGAAACTAACAGACAGAACAAATGCTGGTTGGACAAGCCTCCTGCTTAAAAACTCTAGTTTAAGGTTCTGAGTTAGGTTAGCTTTTCCGCTGTTTTTAGCATTAAGCCATGTGCAATTTATCACAAAATCTGACACCTACGACAAAAAAGAAAACTGTTAAAAACAACCTCCATCCCACACAGGAATGAGGACTGTCAGAACTCAGTAAAAGCACCGGTCGTGAGCCTGACATCGGAGTCAAAATAAAACAGCCCCTGGAGATGCAAACACCCCTCAGAAAGGGCCATACTTGTAATGCCGAGGAGAAGAGCGAGGACTGGTGGAGGCTGCTGAAGGCCGATTTAACCCTCCTGAGCCTCTTTGCTTAGCCAAAGCAGCCGCCTCGTAGAACCGCCGTTCAGCTGCCTCGAAACGAGGTCTGTCAAGCCAGATGCGCTCGCCATCCTGGTGCAACATGAACCTGAGGGAATGGCCCGGGTCCAGGTGGCCACCTGCTGCCCTTTTGTCCTGGACGGCACTGTCCCGCTTGGCTTTCTGGGATTCCGGACGGTAACGTCCAGTTTCAGTTGGAGAGCCTCCAGCTTCCAAGCAAACTGGCCTAGATACTGCCTCCTCCTGCTCCTGGCTGCCTCTGTGGTGGCTCCTGCCTCGCCGGCTGCCTCCGGAAGTGCTGGAGACCGGGGGCCCGTCGTGGAGGCTCTGGTAGAAGCAGGCCTCAGCGTGGTCATAAAGCGGCTTCTCCAGCCAGACCTCTTGCAGGAGCCCGCGCAGCGCCGACGAGTAGTGGGGCATACCATTGACCGACTGCTGGAGGCGGCCGGGGCAAGGTGAAGGGGTGGCGGGGGTGGGTGTAAGAGTCAGGTACCCTTCATCCGGAGTCCTCTGTGAGGTCTCTTCATGGGGCAGCGGGAGGGCGAGGGAGCGGGGCGCGGTGGAGACGGACGCAGACGTGGGCCGCAGCATGAATCGGGACTCAGCGGAGTCGAAGGCCAGCTTGTTCACCCACACGGCTTGCACCACGTGGTGGCAGGCGACAAGGTCACCGTGGCTACAGGCCACGGCAGCCGGGTCATCATAGCTGGAGCCCACAGAGGCAGCCGTCTCCGGATTAGCAGGGCCGCAGTCAGGACGTGACGCAATCACGGCTTCATTTGTTTGGGCGACGCTTCCGTAGAGTGCCTCCACCAGCTTCCTATGGTACGCACCCTCTGCCTCCTCGAACATGTGCCGATCGAACCACACGGATTCGGCCTGTAGGCCAAGCAGGGAATAGACAGGACTGGTGGCCTGGCTCTTGACGCGAGGAGAGCGTTTGCGTCTCCTCTGTCTCTTCCCGGGTCGCTTGGCGTCACCGTTGAGGCTGCCGCTCTCCGGAGAGGATGAAGCCTGGCCCCCGCTGCCCTCACCCGGCTCGGCCCTTCGTACCGCAGCCAACAGGCCGGCACAATCGGCCTGGCCCGGCCCCCCAGTTTCCTCTGGCCCAGGGTGGTCCGCTGGGCAACCGGGATCTCTGCGATTCTTCATCTGGCTCCCAGAGCAGCAGTGAAAGAGGAAAGAAAAGGAAGGGCAACAAGGACAGGCTGCTGGGTTAGTAACAGACAAGGAAACAGGGAAGCTGAGGGAGACTGATCCAGAAACACAAGAGGACACCGCAGGAGACAGCTGGGTTAGGGAGTGCAAGAGCTGAAAGAAAATGGCAACCTAAGCTGACATTTTGATTTCGGTGCCTCAAATGCTTAAATTGTCTAAAAAAAGTGATGTCGAAATGAAGCTCAGAATTGTTTTGCATTCCGCCTGAATTTCAATTTGCTGCACTTACAAAGAGACTATTTTTAAGCCTCGTTGTTCAGATCCTCATTCAAGGGCAGTGGTTTTAGCAAACCCTCCCCCCATTCCCCAAACGACTGGGTGTGGGAACTGTGTACAGTTTCAACCTGGCAGCCACACAGATCATTCAAACAGCTGCCTTTGTTCCCCAACTCCTGTGCCTCTCTTCACGCAAAAGGTTGAGTCATTAAAACACTTTGGGATACAAGTCCAAATCAGGTCCGAATTTTAACTAAAATATTACCAACTTCTATACATTGTTAAGAGCAATTTTTCTACCAACGGCAGTAAGGCTACACTAAGGAATAAATCAAATGCACTAAGAGTGCCACCGTTCTCATTAAAGATACCTACAATTTAAGATCAATGGATAAAGGCACTTCTACTTTGTGTGGGATGAGATCTGACCTGCCAATGCAATACAGCATTGCCTCGACTTTCCGAATGCATCTGCCAGGAATTTCAGAAGATCTGCCCCATGTTGTGCTGGAATTGCCAAAAGGGCTGCTGTGTAAATGAGCAAACCCTCGCTGCACTGGGTGGAGAGTTAAGGGATGTTGGGGTCGCTTTAGGAGAAATCTCTGAAATCAAGGATGATAGAAGGATGCCAGTAGGTCAGGCTGTGTTCTTACAAAACAAGTGCTACTGCTCAAGGCGAGGAAAAGGTACTTGCTTCTGGACCAGTCCCACATGCCACTTATAGACACAATGCATAATTGTACAGAAAGACTCACAATGGACAAAATAATTAGAATGCAAAAAAACTAAGATGAAACTCTGCTAGTAAATTTATGGGGGTGACTGTGTAACCCCCTGTTCCCCAGCTCCTGGGACTGACCCCCACAGGAGAGTCAAGATGTGGAAACTACTGAAATAAGCTCAGAGGAATCCTGTCCTCTCAAATGCTGACCGTTACTCTTCAAGATCTAACTGTTAGAACAAACAGGTAGAAGACTAAGGAAGAACACTGCTAGACCCTGGGAGGGACGGTTTTCAGGGTGACAAAAATATTCCAATCCAAAACCCTGAAGAATGAATATCTTGCACAGGGTGTTTACTAAGGAGCTAACAGAGCTTCATCCCAGGAAACAAAAAAAAAGAAAGGGCATGGCAACAAAAAAACAAACAAACAAGTGGATAACAAATTAAGGAACCATTTTTTAATATGGAATGAGGTACAGAACCGAATGGAAAAGTTAAAGAAAATACAGAATACAAATAAAATGAGCTACGTTACTCCAAGGATTATTGCACAAGAAGTGAAAAGTGAACACTTGGACAACAGTGGAGAAACAGTGGAATGACTCACTACCCATAGAAATGATGCTGGTGGTAATCAGACAGCATTCTGGCAACAAACAGTGCCACCTGCTGGCCTGGAGGCCTATCAGTACATGTGGCACACACTGACAAGATCTTACCACCATCATCTTAAGCCTACAGCACAATTAGAGACAGAACAGTGAGGTCTCCACCTTTCAGGCAACCTTTGCTCTTCCATCCCACCCTACTGCTGATCTTCAGACACTTCTAAAAATATCTGCTGCTTCGCTGCTGAACGCACAATGTGGTTCAGTGGGTAAGGGGTCCCTGCAATGAAGGAATGGAAGCGAAGGCTGCCTGCTCCCTCACCTGGAGGGAACCTGCACAGGGAGAGAAATCCACTGCAAGAGCCGGGAGGTGGGAGTCATGAAATGCAGACAAACCACCGGCTTTTGGTCATCAATCAACAAAAGACATTCACAAAAAGCTTGTGAGAACTCCCCTGTTTCTCCATCTAAATTGGACTAATGTTGATGAAATGCATGCAGTGCCGGACAGGACAATCGTGATGAGATGAAATGAGAGGTTGGTCTTGAGCGCGTGCCCACATTCAGCACAGAGGTCCTGGAGCCCCACTGCAGGATATCCTGCACAGCCCCGTGTTTATCCTGCAAAGCGAGGTTCTCAGCTAGTTTGCGTCCCTGTATTCAACAGTCAATTAAGATTCCCATTTCTTTTCTGCTTTCAACTTTAGGTTATGCAACTACTGAGGATCAAATCAAGGCCCAAAGAACTTCAGTTTGTTGGAATTCAGCAACACTCCTATTTCTGGAGATAATTAATAATTCTATTATATAATTTAAAGCCCACAATGTCTTTCCATCAATATGTAGATCAATGAGCTCACTGAAGTTGCCCATGAATTCATACAGATTTATTCCCACTGACTGTTTACAGGCATCTGCAAAACCTGCACAGGAACGAGGCTCTCCAGGACCAGGCTGGGTTGTCAATGTCCTAACCAGTGACAGGCAGCCTGGGTTCCTATGGTCCAGCCAGCAGTTTAACAACTGGTCTGTCCTTGGATGTTCACTTACACCATTAAGGAACCCACCACAGCAAAGGGTTGCTGCTGAATATAATGGAAAAGCCCAACAGCAGCAGGACTGGTAATGTTTTACTTATTCTTTGTCTTTCTGACAGGAAAAGATCCTTAATTATGAAATCCAGAAAAGATTAAAGGAGTTTGAGTGGGGAGCTTCAACAGCATGTACTGGCTAAAAAGGTACAAAATAAAGGTTAAATCAAAACTGAAATGTTGAAAAAAGAAAATGTTTTGTTGTTTCAGATTAAATGTCATGTTCTGTCACGTCTTTCTGGTTTTCAGCCTGGAATTAATCTTTATTTGTTACTTTAATTAATGCGTGGAGGGATATAAACATCACAGTTATAAACTCACACCCACTGGGCTGTGGGTTTGCACAGATCAGGGATGGGTGGAGCACCTACAATGATCAGAAATGTGGAATCTAAGAGCCAGGCAGCTGTTCAGCACATTCCTATTTCTACAGCCTGAACACCTGTGCCTCCAGTGGGTTCAGGCACCAAAAGCAAAAGTGGATGCAATTCACCCCTGGGTTTTAAAAAGCGAAACGAGCTAATCTACTTCAGGATTAGCCTCCTGCAGACTCTAGTACAAATTATATACATGAAGCAGAAAATCCTTATTTTCTCACCACTCGTCTATGTAAGCCTACTAACAGTGACAATAAAACATCCTGCAGGGGGTGTGGACTCATACAATGACTCATAAAGCCCGCAATAGCTACGCAGTGAGTCCTGCAGCATCTGCTTCCCTGCGCAATATCGCCCTCTCCTGGCAACTCCAATAGCACTTCAGTGTATATCTCCCGACAGTCTACCTACCTTTAAATCTCTATTACATTTATACTTTCCATTAACGCATTCATCCAAAGCTGGGCATATTACTGTAGCTATCTGAGTGACTCACGATGAGCAAAGGTACAACAGCTTCCCATCTAGTATTTGAACTACCCCTCCCCACTGCTGCCTACTGAGAGCTGACCCAGCTGGGTGTATTGATGTAAAGATAGCATGTGAAGGTAAGAAGGAGATGGAGTGTTTTTGCTACATAGGTTCAATAGGATTTGCCTTGCCACAATCATTTGAAAAAAAAATCTACTTTGCAATTCCCATTTTACTTTGCAAAATGGATGCTGAAAGCACAATCTTGCTCACAACAAGCATAACTCCCATGCCGATGCCTGAACTGTACATACTATCAAAGCCCTGAACACACAGGGAGATAAAACATTGAGTAAAACATTCAATATTTTATAATATGTCTTTGTTGTAAATGTCTGTAACATGTCTGTAGATTTTATTTTACTTCTATTTTTTGTTTTGTTCCATGTTAATTTTATTATTTTTATTTGCTTTGGCAACACTGATTGTACCCATCGGTCATGCTAATAAAGCACCCTGAATTGAATTGAAACTGATAAAACATTGAAGTATTAGAGTTTTAAAAAACAAATCAATCACAACCATCTCCAAGGTTCTCTGAAGAGGGGAAAAGAAAGCCATGGGAGTTTATAGCCATGAGTGGGCTCCCTGTCACGTGGAATGTAAATTTATCAGCTTGCTGGAGCTGTGAGTCCAGCCCCTCCTGCAGCAACATGGCTACTCCTCTAGGACTGGTTGGGACAGAGATCTCTCTCCCCCTGCACTGCAGCTTCAGGCTTGTGGTGCACTGTACTCAAGAAGCACATAATGTAAAAACTGCATACCAGAATTGGTTAGAGAAGATATAAAGCTCTGGCTTATATATAAAAGGCCCAAGGACCTAAAGCCTACAAAGAATGAAACCATTACACCATGGGAGCACCATAACCCAGCACTGCTACAGCCTGCTGCAGAATTAAAGCAGCAATATTTATCCAATGAGGATGCATTTTCCCTAATCAGCCAATCACATCTGACAGAGACCAGGCCAGCATGTGACGCGGGAGACGAGCGAAAAGGGAAAGGAATGTCAAATTCGACAGCACTGACCGGCTTTTAGAGGTAACATGGGGCACGCACCGCCCAGGAGACAACCAGAAAGAGCATAGGGGGTTAACAGAGGAATCCCCACCATGTGACCACAGACCAGGGAGAACACTGGCTGTTCTGATTATTTTCCACTGCAGAAGTGCTCTCTGCAAAACACTGAAAGCCACCCGCTGCTCGAGATTGCAAGTACACTGAGCGTGGGCTTATCTGGTATCCCACACTTCCCAATTAAGGCAGGATAGAGCAAGAACCACTTCAGTTCTGTGGATAACCAGGAAAAGCAAAGAGACTAATTACAAAAAGAGGACAGGATTCATTGCTTGCTTGCTTTGTGGCAGTATACTTTTAGTGAAACACTGACACCCATAAGCCCCCCTTTATTCAGGTCATGTACGTGCAAATGCTTCTTTACATTGTCAGGGACAATATTCTCATTCAACATGGATAAGGTGGTGGTGGTAGTGGCAATTCCTCTACCCTGGCAATGGTATGTCAGTGTCATGACATGGAGTGGAGCTCTGGAGAACATGGGAACTTCAGACAGACAGAGACCGAGGCAAAGTTAGACTGTGAAATACTCACTGTTTCCAATCCTGAGCCGCAGCGAAGAAAGAGAGAAGAGCAACAGGTTAGTATTGCGTAACTGGAGGGAAACCACACAGCAGCAGAGCAGAACATACAGAAAAAAAAAATCAGCAAGGATTTGTATACAAGGCACAGAACAGCTCAATAATATATGTAGATCTGGGTTATAAATCCTTAGGCCTGGATGGTTTCAACACCTGTGAGCTACTGATGCATCACAGGTGGAATTTATCAAGCAACTTGATGAATTAAGAGAACACTGCTCCTTGATGACTGAACAGTTTTTAGATTTTAGTCCTAATGGCTTTGTGGTGGCGCCATGGCTCAGGATCTGCGCCAATGGCTGGTAGGTTGCCAGTTCATATCCCACGGCCGGCAGAGGAATCCTACCCCTTTGGACCCCTGATCAAGGTCCTTAACCCCAACTGCTCCAGGGGCGCCATATAAATGGCTGACCCTTCAACCTGACCAAGCTTCTCTCCCTGTCTGTGTGTCTCATGGAGAGCAAGTTGGGGTATGTGAAAAGACAAATTCCTAATACAAGAAATTGTATATGGCCAATAAAGTGATCTCATCTTATCTTAATGATCTCCAAATTACTTAATAAATCACTTGTTTAATTGATCACAATGGAATTGTTCAATAACTATAGAAATTGATAATTTAGCAATGATTTAACCTGTAATTTAACTTACGGATTGGTGTTCTGCAGGAGCAGGTTTGGAGATATTGAGTCATTTACACAGAAAATATATAGAACTGCTCAACTCACACTCTTACACCAGAGCGTATGTTCTGTGGAATTCATACCACTTCAATTACATGCTCCATTTCTGATTAAACTTAATATGTCTAAACTTTTACCAGTTTTACACATTTGCACACTTGAAGGCATCTGGAAAGGTAGCAAACCTTCCCGGGTCTACATCTGTTAATAATCCGACTTTATTTAGGGGCACTCTTTAACAAAAACAGCACTGCACAACAACTGTACAGCAGAAGCAAAATCAAAAAAAGAAGTTAAGGTAAAAAGCAAAGCGAGTTCCTAGAACCATGAGTTATTCTAAATTCTACATTAAAACTAGTTCAATTATTTCTGACTGAGACAGTCACAGAGTCCCTGATGTGTTGCACAGACACGAGGGCTTCATCGGCCACTGAGTGGAGTCTGGTCTTTCTCTGTAGAAGGCCAGAATCAGATCCACAAAAACATAACCTCAACGTAACCTGGAGCTCTGTGGACAGGAGAACCTTCATTTCCACTCTGAACTTCCCAGCAGCCACTGCTTTGGTTTTAACCAGGGGGTGTCAGAAAAGTTACCAGAGGGATAACTGGCTTGTGGCGGCCAGGGGTTCACAGCAACGCCACTTTTTGATCCTTGGAGGTCGGCTCTTCCTCGTGCTGTGAAGCAGATTTCAACAGTTGTTTGTTCCCAACTAATAGGGAACGTGAGGTTAGTTTTACCCCACTGGTGTTCTGCTGTTGCAGTAATCCAGTTCAGTAATCCTGCTTGATACAGGAGGAACTCCAGGTTCAGACACTGGATGTCTGTGCTAGGCTGAGGAGCTGATGGTGTGAAGCCGTCATCTGCTAAGATTATGACTGACGCCTCTAAACACAAGACACCCTGGGAATTAAGCCAACAAAGTTGTCGAATCTTGTTGAAATAAAGGCACATACCAATATTTCAGACAGCATCAACTGAGCAATGTTCCACACAGATGGCAGATGTTCTTGTAATGCTGCTAACATTCACGAGAAGGCCCTGGGTTAAAAGTAACACAACGGATTCCAACATCCATCAAAGACTTGATTTCAGGACCATTAAGAATGAAGTCAGCAACCTGGAGCCCCTGAGCACTCGTCGCAGTTTAGCTGAAGTTCTGCTGCAGCTATGTCTTCATATTAGACAGGCATCTGTCAAGTATTGAAACTGCTGAGTGGGTTCTGATTTGGTCTGCACACAGATCTCAAGGTCTATAGCATTGCAGGGAAACTCACAGGGTAACATTCAAATACTAAACAGTAAGGTTCCAATATAGAGCCATATGGATCACCATCAGTGTTAAAACAGCTAAGAATCATGAATGGGCTCCTGGCCATTAAATAGGAGCCCAACCAATGAAAAGCTCCCTAAATGCATCCCAGTGCGATCAGGAGGGAAGCCATAATTGACAAGAGGCACTTAAGTAATGGAAAGAAACGGATGTTAAGTGACTGAAACAAGGACTGCTTCAGCTATTGTGATGAAGCTAGCACCACCAATTCCATCAGTAGCTGCTAAATATTTGAGACTCCTGACCAGATTTTAATTAATTCCTCTACCACAGTACACCCCACCCTACTACCAATTCCTGAGGTTTGGGAAACACGTTTCAGGTGCACACGTAAAGATGCAAACCTCTATTTCAGCTTAATCCAGAGAAGACACTAATGTAAAACAGTCGAATTGGACTGTGTACGAAACACATTAAATCTAGCATAAAAGCAGTGTACTAAATTCACATTCTCTGCACTCCACGCATGCACAATTTTATAAACTTTAGATTTACACATACTTCACACACTACACACATATAGGGCTTACTGTATTTAAAGTAATAATACATTTTTACATACCCACCACAGACATTACTGATAAATAAAACTCTACATTAACTATGTTTTAAAATTACCAGCTATCAACCCGCTCGTGAAGAACGAGGCAAACTTGATTCGTCATGATCTCAAATCCGACAAGGTGACAAGGGAGAAACTTTTATTTGTTTTTTAAATCTACACTTAAAAACTTTATAATACTCATCTCAGTTTGTAGACTCTGCATTACTCACATTTACCTGGAGCAAATTCACAAATTCCCGTTCGGAAGATTACAAATGAAAAGGTACTGTACGTTTACTCAACCTCTCCACACTTTCTGATGATCCCTAACGAATTGGAGGTTAGCGTTGAGATCATCAGCTTTCAGGCAAACCGATTTACCGATTTCACAAGCAGGGAGAACACATCACCTCAATACCACCAACCCGAGTTGAAAATCTAATAACTAACTCCAAATTACCAGCAGCGTGATGAGTATCTCTTGCAGTGCGCGTTTCCAGGCTGAGACGTGTTTTGCAGACACTCCCTGCCACCGCGCTGGCAGTATGAAGCCCTGTCAAGTCTCCGATTCCGTTGAAAATGACCGAGAACAATCACCACAGCAATGAAATAACTCCCCAGATTGAAAGACCAACTCCTATTAAAAACCCCGACGCTCAGACAGCACTGTCTATACTCACTTTCCGATGTTTGGGTGGTTTTCTGAACCAGATGTACGCAGCGTGTCCCTCCTGTAGGAACAGAGGAATAGAAAGAGAGAAAGCAGGGCCAACACTTCACTTTCTTCACACGGATGAGGGGGGAAGGTTGGATCCAGATAGCTGATTCAAACTATTTCTTACAAGCTCTTGAGCTAAACGTGGAAATAATTTGACAAATATTATTTATTTATTTATTTATTTAGTTATTTATTTATTTATTTATTTATTTTATGTGCACCTTAAAAAATAAAATAGCTGGGTTTGATTTTTTTCCTCTGACAATCTGGAAGTTGGTACATTCCTAATATTGAGTGAAGTGCGCAGTCGCCGGTCACACTTAACTCGAGATAACAGTTTAACAAAAAAAGGAATGATACAATTGTGAAGCGAGGGGGCGCTCTGTGCTCTTTTACACCACAGACTGATAAATTCTATGGCATACAGAATGTAATTTAGATATTTTCAACCAACATATTAACATATTATTTTATTGGATTAAAAATTAAGAAGTACTATTGACTAAAGATGCTCTAATTTCTTGCACCTATAGTGTTGCAAAAATCAAAAACACTGGTCTGATGGATTTAATCTAATATTTAATTCATACGCATTGCACAAAATCACAGAACATGAGAAGAAAAACACAGATCAAAGAAATAACTTTCCAGTATGAAACATGGCAAAATGTGAAAACATTATGAAGTTGGCATTGGGTTTGACCTCTCCGAGCATTAGAAGAGCTGGCAGTGACCCTGTCAGCCTCTGGACAGACTGCTTTGGTATGATCTACCTCTCTTCCTGTGCTGCTACAGCCAGCCAGCAAAGGTTGACCAGTTGTGTCAGTCTCCTGTTAGCCTAGTCATGTTGGGTCCACAGATGTTCAGCTGGAATCAGATCAGAAGGAAAACTAGACCATGGCAAAAATTCAATATTGTTTTCCTTAAATTGTTCCATTGTAATCCTGGAACAGTGTGGTCTTGTCTTGTTGAACAATAGATACTTCCAGACAGACATGGAGGAACAGAAAAACTGTTAGTTTAAGGACTTCGGCAGTGCATCATAGAGTAGTGAGGTTGTATTCAATATGTACCAAAGGAGGTATTAAGAAGATGCCTCCGGACATCCCACGTCCACTGAAAGTACTGGTCTAGATTGGTGACACTGTGCATTGCAGGAAACAGTGCTTTCCTGGATTCTATGTACTAGATCAGATTGTTGAAGCAGAACACATAATTCTCTGGGAAAAGTCTCTCACATACAGGTCACCTTCAATCATTCCAATACAGTAGGAACCAGGCAATCGAGAAATTACTCAAGAGGGAGATGGTTAATCTTTTGCTGTTTATTAAAATCATTACCAAGACAATTTAATGCATTTTTATACAGATTCTTAATCACTTTTAACAATTCAAACATCAAATAATGAGTGCCTGGAGTTTTTATTGAATCACGTGATTTCATATTGTGCTATCCCAAGAGACAATACTACAGATAGTGAGATTATCTGTTCTCTGTTTGAAATTAAAATAGCATTAGTGCCTAATGAGTTATTGATGTAAGACTTGCATATTCATTTTGCATTCAGATATTAACTAATAAAGTAAAGTGACAAACTGACCAACAGAAATGATAACTGTATGGTGCACCAGCCCTCTTGTCTGTTCTCTATACATGTTTGACTGTTTGACAGGGACTACACAGATATACCCCCAGTGCATCAAACTGATCAACATTAAACTAGATTTACACTTGTTGCTCCAAATCAAAACTATTACAAATTCTACATATCTTTTGTAGGAAAAAATTATCTTGCAATTCCATTATACAGAATTGTATTCCATTATATAATGCAGTTTTGCAGAGTTTGATTTTTGTTTTGTGCCAGTATTCCCTTTGTGCTTTTAGCACATTTGAGTTGGTCCTTTCTCAATTAAATCATTCTTTTGGAGTCCCTGGGCTACAGCACAGTAATCTGCCTGCTGACTAGGAGAAGCAAAACTGAGTTAGGATTGGCTACAGCCAACATCATTGCATCCTACAGCAAATTGGGCATAGATACAAAAACATTAAGATATATTTAAAATATAGTTTTACATCAATAATTAATGATAATAATAGTTCCTAACACTTATATAGCGCTTATTTGGACATTCCACACAAAGCATTTTACAGGTAATGGGGACTCCCCTCCACCACCGATGTGCAGCCCCACCTGGATGATGCAACAGCAGCCATAGTGCGCCAGAACGCTCACCACACATCAGCTATCAGTGGGGAGCAGAACAAAGTGATGAAGCCAGTTCAGAGATGGGGATTATTAGGAGGCCATAATTGGTAAAGGCCAAATAAACGCACAAACAACAGAGGAAAAGGCAAAACTAAAAAAATAACTGGGATTGAAAAGCAGTTTTGTGGAGAACTTGGATGAATGCACTGGGATGCTTGGATCAAATGTACACCTGTGCTTCGTTTCAGTTCCAGGACTGTAAGATTTCAGGGTCTGAAGATATGTTTTACATTTATTTGAAGGTCAAACACGTAATCTTGGCTTTCAGATGCTTTTATCTGGTTATTAGCCAATTAAAATGCAGGCAATTGTTATTTCATTCATGAATTTAAATCTCTGTCACTGCAGCTGGGGGAATGTGACTGCACTGGCAGGCCATCTCTCTTGGTTCCAGTTTGTTGCTGTACCAGACATTCAGAAACCCTTTGTTTGGTTGTCTTTCAATCACAGAAACATTTAAACATTATGAAATTCATTTAAATTATATTCATATTCATTTACGGCCAGCAGCCATATCACCCTGCAACTCACAACCGGCAACCCACTGAAGCTAAGCAGGTGTGAGCCTGGTCAGTACCTGTATGAAAGACCTCCTGGGAAAAACTAAGGTTGCTGCTGGAAGAGGTGTTAGTGGAGCCAGCAGAGGGTGGTCCATGTGGGTCCTAATGTCCCAGTATAGTGACAGGAACACTATACTGTAAACAGGCGCCGTCCTTCGGATGAGACGTAAAACCGAGGTCCTGACTCTCTTTGGTCATTAAGAAAAATCCCAGGGTGTTTCTCAAAAAGAGTAGGGGTGTAATCCTGGCCAAATTTCCCATTGGCCCTTACCAATCATGGCCTCCTAATAATCCCCACTAATAGCTGATGTGTGGGGAGCGTTCTGGCACACTATGGCTGCTGTCGCATCATCCAGGTGGATGCTGCACATTGGTGGTGGTGGAGGGGAGTCCCCATTACCTGTAAAGCACTTTGAGTGGAGAGTCCAGAAAGCGCTATAGAAGTGTAAGCAATTATTATTAAATACATTCTGTTCCTTCTTTCGTGTGGCCAGTTCAGACTATTCTTATGGTCAAGACATCAGTCCATGAGGTCCACTTGCCTCTACTTCCGCCCCAGCTCGCGGGCTCTCTCAGTCGCAGCTTCCACAGCACCCATGGCTGCTGCCCGCATGCCCCCCTGTTCCAGCACATGAAGCCCAAAGATAGTGGTGCCCCCGGGTGTACAAACTTCGGAGCGCAGCTGAGCAGGGTGTTTCCCAGAGTCCCGCAGCAACCTCCCTGCACCCTGTAACACACAAAGATCACAGAGGGAGATGCAGTGTCACATACGGCACCCAAACACTGCAATACACCCAGCACAGGGACTCTAAAACAACACCTAAGCAATTCACTACTTGGCATGTCCTGCCTTAACTACTGCTTCTCAGTCTGAAATCTCCCTGTCGAAATGCACTGAAAGTGTCCTGGTGTTATATACCTATACATGCAGTATATGTCATAGTATACCTCACATTAAGACAATTAAGGCACAATCAAATTCATAAAGAAGCTAGTGGCTGCATATAAGGCATTCACTAATGATGTACAACAGATTGCCTGATTATAGGTAAAGCTCAGATACAACAGAAATACTTTTAATATTACAGAAACACAACAGACACACAGATTTACTGCTTCCATGGCCGTCACTCACCAGCACAGTCTGTGCTGCTATCCGATTAGCCAGAGCACTGGGCATGCCCATTTTGACTCCACCTTCCGCCAGGGCCTCAGCAAACAGATAGACCTGCCAAACCAACCAGACAGGAGTGCTGACGTAAGACAAGCAGAGGATATGTGGCACAAGGCTCTTATCTGCTTACTTAATTCCATCTGTCCATTTATTCATTGGTAAAGCAGGCCAGAATCTATCCCATAAGGAGAGAACAAGCTCAGACCTACATCCACCCTGTATGCCCCCAGTATTATGGGTTGTGTCTCTCACCCCCTCCACTGCGTGTTCACATTTCTCCTGTCTGGGAGACACCCCTGTGTCCCCAGGTGTAATCTTTCATCCCCACTGCCATATTTCTTTCAAGCAATGTACAGTATCTTGTCCCTTGTAATACTGTTTCACTGACTTCTCTGTTGGTAGAATCAGATGGCAGTCCATCACAGAGCCAAGGAGAAAGGACAATTCAGAACCACCAATCAAGTCTGTGTGTCTGGCTTGCGAGAGCAAACTGGATTACCTGCAGAAAACCCACACAGACATGTGGAGAACGTGCTAATTCCACCTGGAAAAACATGTCTCAGTCCCCCGCCACACAACAAGGACCAATCCAAAAAAAGGCACCGAGGCACACAGGCACTGTGACACACACACGTCTCCCAGACCTGGTGACCCAAAAACTGGTTAACCGTGCAGTTTGTGTGCTTTCTCTTCACTTCAGCCACCTTAGTTGTATTATCAGCCTTCTGATGGAGTATCTGCACCAGGTCCTGCCAGATACAAATAGGACCAAGCTACCAGGCACCACAGCGTTGGTGCTACTGTGTGCTTGGTGCCGTGTTGCACACATTATAACATTGTGTGGCAGGACTTTGCACATGAGCAAACCTTTTTGTGGGGATTTACTGTACAAAGACAAAGCAAAGAGAGACAGTGAAATAATGAGAGACTGAAGGGGTGAAAGAATAGAAATTGCAGGGGGAACAGTAAAGGGCTTGACACAGGGAAAGAGAGCGAGAGCGAGGAGATTTGAGTTTTGACAGTGAGGGCCTGTACTCACAAAGGCCACACCGCTGCCGCTGAGTCCTGTGTGGGCATCGATCCAGCTTTCTGGTCCCTCCTCCACCAGGCCGCAGGGGGCCAGCAGGGCCTTTAGGAGCTCACTCTCCTCCCCCCCAGCCATCGAACCCCGTGAGAACAGCAGCGCCCCCTCCTGAACCACGCAGGGTAGGTTAGGCATCAGGCGCAGAACTGTGGTGCTAGATGGAAGCAGCTTGAGAGGAAAGGGACGGAGAAGATTGGGAGGACAAGAAAGAAATTGAAGCACATATTCAATTTCAGTTCACTTACAATTAGGTGAACAACACTTAACAACACTTAAGCCAAATCATTCATAACTTTACGTTTTCTGTCAGGCGTGCCTCAATGCAGGTGAGTGTGCGACTGTGAATATTTCTGATGTCATGTGACAGTAGCTCAGTACTGACACCCAAGTGTGTCTCCCAGCTTGGCACTGACCTGCTCCAGGGTCGCTATGGTAACACCTGCCGCCACAGAGACAACGGTGTGCCGCAGAGTGACAGCAGGGGAGATCTCCTGTAGCACGATGGGAATGAGGTGTGGCTTCACTGCCAAAAAGACCAGCCGAGAGCTGTGTACTACATCTGCGTTACAGTGAGACACCACCATTCCTCTTTCCTACAGCACAAAGGGAGAGACTGAAGTTGTGAGATGCCCAGGAACACAGACCCTAACTGAGACACTAAGAAGTGTTGAGTTTTAGATATGTAATTAGAGAGTTTCAGACTTTACTGAGTACTCTCCAATTACACATTCTACAAAATGACAAAGAGACTAAAACAGAAAAACCCTATTATGAGAGTACTGGACACTTCTTAGTCAGTGCAAGGGGCTGAGCAACGCTATGTAAAAAGTGGGAGTAACTGTACAGTACAGAAGTACAATAATACCCAAGTAATAACGCAGTGCTGATCTAAGCCACTCAGTTTGTAACAATAGATCAGAGGCACTCTAGCTGCTGTATTTTTAACAGTAGATATATGAACTCACTTGTTCCAAAGACAGATAAAAGAAATGGAAGATCCCCACACAGATGAACATTGCACTTTTGTCTTTCTCTTTCTTAAAATTATATTAAATTATATTAAAATTATAGTAATATTAAAATTTGGTTATAAATATTTCTCATAAATATTTATAACAATCTTAAGAAAGGAAGGTAAGTAGATCCACAATATTACAGTAAGCCTATGAACGATGCACAAAGGCCCACACATTTTATGCACATTATTTATGAATTGGTGAAATTATATCTCACCACAGCAAATTGGCAGAATACGGCAATAAAAAGTACAGGCAATGCCGCTGACTAAAGCCTACCTGGAATCTGCCCAGGTTGTTGTCCGAGGGTGCACTCACCATCACATTTGCGGGCTGCACTTTACCTGCAGGAAAACAAGGGATGAATGGAGCACATTGATGGCATATGTGTTGCATTATCTTGCAGAGCACAGAATAGACATGCTATCATCTAAAAAAAATGCTAAATATGCTCTAAGGATCCAGACGCATATTATTTGAAGCAGGAACATAATCTCTTCAGTCTCAACTAACAATAGCTACATTTAAACAACACCCTCTCAGCCTAACCTTAAGTCAGACCCTAATTATTGTAGGGCTGCAATATATCCAATGTGCTTTGGGCTTCTAACATCAGGAAAAAATCTAAACAAGCTGTTAATCTTCTTTTATACAGCAAATATATTTTGAGATGCAGTTTGATTTCGTTCAGGGCACAGGTATGTTACTGCAGCCTTGAAAGTTGTAAGGATATGACAAAGGTTCTCACTCAAGTCACTCAAGTTCACACTTTCAATATCATTCAGTCTTATAAATGCTGTCTAGTACCGCTTTTGATATGAAATCCTCTGCTTGGTTTCAGAAGTTCCTTACTGGGCCTCCCAAGTGGCTCACTGGTAAAGAGGCTCTCCTGACCACTGGTCATGTCACTAGCTGGCTGTCACCAGGACCGGGTTGGTAGTAAGGTATAGTTGGCCAGGGCTCTCTCAGCTCCCAAGCACACAGTGACCCCTGTGGCTCCTGGGTGCCAGCTAGCCCACAATGTGGGGCGTGAGAGACGCACCTCTCCTCCCATCGGCACTGTAGCCACGACAAGAGGTCTATACTGAATGTGAGGTGTTAAAAGACTAGCGACACAAAGGCAGGTGGGCTAGAGGAATCTGTCTAGCCTTCCTCTTTCTCCCCAGTGTACAGTCAGGGGGCTTGGATCTCCCAGGAAAAATGTCAAACAACATAAAATTAACTTTCCAAATTGGGTGGGTATAAGAAAAATAATTTAATAATAAATTAGCTTAAATTAGGTCAATTCAGTACACAAAAGTGTATGTAAAATACACATACAGTGTGTAAAACATGTTAGATTTGTTGCACAACCTCTGTCAGGTACTAAGGGAGTCACAAAAGATACTATCCTGGGCCCTACATTTTTCCCATCCATATTAAAAATATCACACAGGCATTAGTCAGCTCTTGTGTCCACATCTATCTTATTCCCAGCCCGACTGACCCCATCATCAGTAATGACCAATTTATAGCTCGGTCTCATTAGTAACAGTTCAGCCCATAATTCTGTTGAAGTGCAATATGGCCCGATCAAAAGAGATTTCAGAGGACCTCAGAAGAAGAGTTGTTGAAACTCATAAGAAAGGGCTACAAAAGGATTTCTAAAGACTTGGCCCTCCATCAGTACACAGTCATGCAGATAGTTTACAAATGGAAGAAATTCAGCACCGCTGCTATGACAAAGGGTTCACAAACTTTTTCACCACTGTATATAGACTTTTCTGCACACATGCCTTGTTTTTTTTTAAAAGAGAGTCATTATTTCCAACAACGCCAACACAGAGAGCTTTCTACAGCATCATTGGCTCCCTTAGTTTTTGACTAAGCAGCTCTTAATAGGTGATGGGAATGACACTATCAGATACTCACACTGTGTCAGCGTTTTTCTTTCTGCCAGTTGGTTAGATTTCAGCAGGCACACCTGAATGAGGGACTTTATGAAACCCATTAATTAGCTTTGGGTTTATACCAAATACGAATCTTAGCTTTTTAAAAATGAAATCAATTTTAAAATAAAGACTGAATCAGAGAATTGTAATAAAAATCCAGATGATGATGCCTCCACTTATGAGAGTTATATTATTTATAACCGGGAAGGCAAATCTACCAAAAAAAGGAAATTTAAAGGAACGTCTCACGACAAACTTTAAGCCCCGAAAATGCGGGATTTAGCATACAGTCATCTATTGCAGGCAGAAACTCTACCAAGATGCCTTGCGACACTGAGGAAAGAGGTCTCACCTGACATCAGAAGCCCCTGAGCTATTCCAAAGGCCATGTTCCCGGCTCCAATGAAGCCAATTTTAAGATCTGACAAATCTGGCTCCATCTCCAAATCTGAAAAGAAAATTAAAATCAATGTTACAACTGATTTTTTTCTATAAAATCACGCTAGTTCCCTCCTGTGTAAAAATTACTCGAAAACTGGTGAAACACCAAGTAACTCAGCGAGAAACCTGCGATCTGCTACAACTTGTATTATTTATAAAACTGCTTTAGGAAACTGTAGCATTTACACATGAAAATAACCGTCTGGTCCATAACTTTAAGACATTACCCGCAACTGTCAATGTTTTGCAGACGTTTACCGCGGTGATATTAATGCATTTTAACGTCAACGCCTCAGTAGTCAAATTAAAATTAAATCATGGAAATCCATACATCGGCAATAAAGTGGATCTAGTATAAACTGGATGCAAAATCTGTAATAAAAATGTGGTATTATTCTTATCCAAGCATGGATACCTCAGTCTAGTAAATCGTTCAATATATTTGCAGTGATACCTTACCCCCACAGATAAGTTATCAGTTAACTATTTATTTTTAATAACCGAGGGGAAAGAAATAAGAATCGAGTGTACAATAATCACGCAAAATCGAGTCAGCTCTTTACGAACCAGGAATAAATATATACATACTATACACGTGTCTTTCAGCTAGACAACCATGATATAACCTCGAGTTCTGGTCGGAGATAAGTAGAGGAGCAAAAATGTATGGCCGACCATGTACTTTCTCCTTGTTTACTTTCAGATTAATCGATTTATTATTAAAAGTTGACGTCTTTTATTAAGCCATTTATTAATAGCGATTTACTTTATAGAATCAAGACCTCGGCTTAATTTAAAATAAAAGGATAGTTACACTATAAGAAAGACGTAGATGAAAATAAAACAACATCAAATGTGTAGCCGCATCACTAGATAAGCGACTCTTCGCAACACACAGCACCTGACAAAATGCATAGTTCCTCCACCAAAATGACCATCTTTTAAAGGAAGTATTTATTTCGGTGTCAGTGTTCACACTGAATCCTAAACGAATCAAACAGCATTTTGTTGGAAAAATAATTATCTAAACGAGTCCACAAATTAATATGCTTTTAATGGATGCTATTTTCTGTTTCCGCTACATGACGCCAGGGGTCGCGCCATTCAGCATTTCAATTTTCCTGTTTTCACATTACGGATTTGATTGGCTGATCCGTGGTTATTTAAATATTTTCCCGGGAAGTGATAAATGCTTCCAGCTGGAATACGATTTTTTCTACAGGTCTATTCAGTAGAACAGAAAGGGCGTATCTCTTGTGTGGATCAGTTGTCGCCTACAAGGTACAACATATCTTGCCACTGGAGGTAAGCGTTGTGTTATAATCGTTTTACGCGTTTTTTCGAATTATTACCTCTAGGATGAGCCAGGTAGTAACTATTATAAGTAATTGAGGGGAAAAAACAACGCAAGCATCATACAGAAAATTATATGTACATATTTTGAAATAATGTGAAAACATGGCGTTGTTAACATTCTGATACCAGATGTTAATACTAAATGGTTACTACTCAGTCATAAGAACAGAACTTGGTGTAACGCACGTCGTTTGTGAGTATTGCGCAGTTACAAGATCTCAAATCTGATTATTATAATTCATAACCAAATTATATTAGCGAAAGTTGGTAAAAAAAAATCTACAGGTGTTCTATTTTCTTTGTTAAATTTGTCTCGCGGTTGACAATGGCCATTCTCAAACACAGAGCTGGTTGAACATTGAACAGTGAAGTACGACTAATGTTTTTCGTGTTTTATGAATCTTAAATCAATAAACTAACTCAAAATATGTTAAATGCGTTTTGGTGTTAAAGCTTTTTGAATTAAATGCATGTCCTGACTAGAAAAAAAGTAAAAACATCATAAAGGGAGAGAAGACCGTTTGGTTGCTGATACAGTAGATGAGATCCTGGATCAACTATCCGTTTCTTGACAGAAGCAGGGTATCGTCTTGAACAATATGATAGCTTGTTCCTTTATTTTGAGACGGCATTTTAATATTGTGGTTCTTAGTCAAAAGTTAAGATGTAAAATCATCACAAGGTATCACAAAACTGAGGGTCATAGTTTTGTGGAGTGGACAGTGGATTCTGTGTAGTGGAGTGGGATTGTGTTTCATCCCAGGACTATTTAATCTGTAACACTTATTTTGCTGTCTGCTATGTTACACTGAGAACATCTTGAGCTCTCTTTTAGTTTTTTCTTGTTGGAAAGCGCTAGAACTAGCCTCTGTAGTGTGATGCTTCTTGTTCTTCACACTTACATTTAGAAAATATTCAAAAAGGTCTGGGAAACAGGATTTCACAAAGGAGACAAAGTAGGAAACATACCTGAAACAGGAGCAATATCTCATGAAGACTTCAAGAGGGCAGAGTAGCATTTCCTTAATTGCTCCAAAAGTTTAGAGACATTAATATAATCATCATGCGTTCTGATCCATGCTCACCACCCTGAAAACTGGTCTCTTGTAATGAAACAAGAGGGACTTCAAAACCTGGGGCTGCAGAGCCGACTTCTTTATGTCAAGATAAAGAATAGTTAATACATTCAAGAAGAGAGAAGAATGTGGAAACCCTATTCCCCCCCAACATGGAACCACAATTTCAGAAAATGAACTTGAGATTTAGCTGGAAATGGAAATAGATTTACAAGGGACCTTCTCTCTCTCACTGCCCAGATGATGCTCATGGCTGCTGGCCTACGCTTAATGTCTGCGCTGTTTCTCTGGGGGCTCTGCACCCACGTCAGGCCTGCAAGGGCTTTTTTTGGATGGATGACAAAGAAGGCAGCCCCTAGCCCAGCCCCCCCTCCACCTTCCTTCTCAGAGGCAGAAGGAGGGGCGCCTCCCCCCTTCGAGATGAGTGTCGCCGATGAGCATTTCCTGGCCGAGGCCAAACAGCTGGAGTTGAGCCCCTTGGACACCTGCCATTATCGGGTAACCGGCTGAGTCTGTGCCCCTTGCAGAGTCTTTCTGAGCATGGATCCATCTTCAAAGGGTCCCGATTTTGTGTCTGTATACTAGTTACCTGTCTGTCTGAATCTTTAGGAATATAGAAATGCAAACCTTCATATGATTCCATTAGCATTTTACACATCTATATTCCACAAGCAGAAATGGCACCAATTTTTCTGGCTGCTTATAGTTCAAAGTTATAGTTTAACAATTAATGTAGCTTTTTGACATGATGATTGGTTGTCTCAGGTCATGTTGTCTGAGGTGCAGATAGCAGCTGAGTTGTAAAAGTCTGGTTTCCGTGTGCAAGGAGCTGGATCTGAGTGCTGTCAGTCTGTTGATTCACTGGAGAAGAGGAGGACTTCTCGAACGTTTCCCAGTGTAGTTCCAGAACATTATCAATGTGATCATTAGAAGATGGTGCTGAGTATGCCGTTCTTTCTCTTAGGTGATTGCCAAGATCAAGACAACATGCAGCAGCCTGTCAGAGGAGGAGTTGGCCAAGCTAGGCGTGGTCTTATTCAACTGCCAAGCAGAGGTAGAAGGGCGCAGAACCTTCCCCTGCACTGAAGAAATGGTACGGTCCTGAAGGGACGGGTTTGGAAAGTTCGTGAATAGGAGCATGGATTTAAGAGTTCCATATATTATATATTATATATTTGCAGTGTTCAGTTATTTAAGCATTTTAATCACTTGTACTGTTTAGTTTCCAGTGTACCCATTTATTAAGTCTCAAACCTAAAACCACCTCTTTTTATGATCTATTTTCCTAGTGAGGCAATATTTACCGTCACCTCCTCCAGTTTCATTTCCTTCTTTTCTCACCCCCTTGCTCTGGTGACAGTATTAACCTCAATATCTCCTTCCTCTTCTCCCATTCAGACTATCAAAGAGTGCACGGCGGAGATGGACTCAGACACCTGGAATGCATATCACATCGTGAGTAACCGGGCACGCTCGGTCTGCTACGCCACGCGCCAGCAGCACTTCCGCAGGAAGGCGGAGTTAACCGTCAACTCTCTCATCTCCTCGGCAGCCAATCAGCTGGAGGCCATGAAGACCCTCAAGGTAAGAACGGCCTATACCCTACTCTCACCCACTGGTGATTCCTGCATCCCCTGTACCTTGACTGTCTAAAATGGCTTGCTGTGCCTTCTACTGCCTGCGACTCATGTTCTTAATGCAAAACTAACTACAATAAAGTCATCTTTTTCTGTCTTTTTACATCTTCCTCTCTGTGTCATTACTTCATCTCCCTTACTCTCACTTATGGATGACATGGACAAGGTTATTCCCCTCTTTGGTCATCAGGGAGGTGGAGACTGTCAGGCTCAGTCTCCCTGCCTGTTTAATTTCCCCTGTGCATCAAGTGTCGTTTTCTTCCCTGTTTTCCAGGAGGGTCAACTGGAGCTGAAGGAGGTTACAGCCTCTTCGGTGGAGAAGCTGTTGCTAAGTCATGGGGCCCTTCTAGAGCAGCAGGGGGCTCTACAGAATGGGCAGCAGCAACTGGACTCGGCCATTAACTCAAACCTTGAGCGACTTACCCAGGAGAAGGAGCTGATCAGTTCTGGGCAGGAACTGGTGGCACAGCTCATCCAGCGCATCACGCAGCGCATGGGTAGGACATGAACACGCATTGACTGCAAAACCAGACACATGACTTTATGAGGGAGGGGGAAATCAAATTCCTCATCATGTCAAATCATAATCACTTTATTTACCAAGTACAGTATGTTGCACATATAAGAAATTTGATTTGGTGTCTTGGTGCTAAAACCTAGATGGAAACGATCAATAATTTGTGTACACCTCGCAGAAACTGTTAAGGTGGTGGGCAGATTTAGTTCTGATCGACTGGTAGCATCTCCCCGAGGCCGATTTATTAGGAGATCACAGGAGAAAGGAGTCATTCACAGTCTTTTCTGCTCACTGTTTACATTAAGTTTGTAAAGGGTTTCAGTAGATGGCAAAGGACAACCCGTGGATGTCTGCACAGTGGACAGTGTGTTGCAGTTTGCCTCTGGAGTGGACAGACGCATTGTCAAACCAAACAGTTCTATTCAGTTCTAATAGTGGCTCTATAAAATTGAAAGAGAACTGATGCAGGAAATACAATCTCTGGTGCACTTTCTTTGTGATGCTAATTACATTTGCATCACATTTGAGGGTCATGAGATGGTTATTGCTATAATCTTGAAATACACTCCCATACTCATACCCCTTGTCAATGTCTAGGGGGATTAGTTTTGGAGGGGTCTTCCGAAAGATATTTAACAATTCCACTGCTTTGAAACTGGTGTTTACTGGAGGTAGAGGGCGAACAACAATAGGATACATGACAACTTACATACTTATTATATATTAAGAACCATCATCCACACCAAGAGGTGGGTATTTCAAACCTGCTACCTTTTTTGGTTAATATTTGTACAGACGGACTCTTGGAGTTAATGTTGAATGTATTCTTGCCTTTATCCCACTTCTGTCATGTTTCTGCTCTCTCTGTCTTTAGAAAATGTTAGCGAGCACTTGAAAGGTCAAGGATTGGAGCTTCAAGATGGACACAGGGCTATCCTTGCTGACCTGGCAGAGGTCAGGGGTCAGGCAAAAGACATCTACAAGAAAATAGGTACGTTGTATAAGTTTATTATGAAGATTATATTTGTATAATACCATTTTATCAGGTCTTAACCAGAGTCAGTAAAAAAAAAATCACTGTGAACTCTGACATCTGCAGCAAATTTGACCTTTGACCTTTCTGCCTCAGTTTCACTCCTGCTCTTGCCCTCTCACTCACAGAGCAGAACCTGTCTGGTTTCCTGCTCTATCAGAACCGCACGGCCCACTTCTATGACGACCTTATGGGGAAGCTTCAGCGAATGAACAGCACTCTGGGACTGCTGGTCCACTACCTGGACGTCATGCAGGGGCGACTGGAGGACAGGCTGCATTCAATTCAAGGATACCTGGGATGGGCAGGTAACCAACTCCTTCAGCAATCCCTCTCATTTCCTGGGACCTGTGTGGAACACCTGTCACTTCTGTGAACACCAGACTTGCTTCAATTTGATTTCGTGGTCCTTCAAATGAACATTCCTGCCACGTATGTTTCTAGCACTGATCAACATGACCACGCAACGTTCCTTAAAGCTGTCTTCAGATGAATCTGGACAAGTTCTTTTCTTTTCCTCAAGTCATGTTGGGAGAAGTAGTTCATCGTCCACACCATGCTGTTGTGCTTCACTGTCAGATTCAAATAGAGTTGCTTTGCAGTGTTGCACTTCAGAAATGAAACGAAGTATCCATCCAGGTACAACACATTCATTTAGGGTTTAAGTAAATTTACAAAGAATAATGGTTTGTGTTTCTGTGGTTCACCACAGTGCGACCATTTTTTGTTAGAATGTTTTTTTTTTTAAATAAGGTACATGCGCTTGGCCTTGCTCACACTGACTGCTGGCCATTTAGTCAATATGCAGTCAGTTTACCCAACAATGTATTATTAACATTACTGCTAATAATAATAAAAACAGCAATTACAATGGAACAGGTCAATTAAAGATTTATAATGCATTTTGCATTACAGCAGCGGACCATTGACTTATGATATTAAACCTTTGTCTGCATGTGATGCATTTTAGATGGCAGTGTTTAAAGGTCTTGTGGTTATCCACAGAATATTGTGTGCATCTGTTTATATCTGTAAAAAGTGTTGTAAAGTGCATTCTTCAATTGTGTACAAGTATAGAAACCACTGTTTCCTAACATTACTTAGCATATTTTCTACGGTAGGTGGTGTTATTAGACCTTTGTCTGTCCTTCAACAAGGGAGGACCGTTAAGCTGCACTAATGTCTGTTTTATGGTCCCTCTAGGTTGCAGTCTGGCGGCTGTATCCACGTGTGTCCTCCATGGGGGTTATTTCCTGTTGTCTGCAGTGCTGATGTCTTTCCTGCACACCCCGGGGTTTTCTCGCGTCGCCCTGCTGGTGATGGTGCTGTTCAATGCCGTGGCCGAGATAAACCAGCAGCCAGCGCTCGACTTCACCAGCCTCAGCCTGCTGCTGCTCCTCGTCTCAGTGGGTAAGGCCGGGATTAGCGAAAGCCAGAATCGCCCTTAAGCTTCTTACACAGGAGAGCAGTCAAGAATTGGGCCAGGAAAATTGCAAGTGTCAGTGTTGAAAGTGTTTAATTTTAATAATGCCTACTATGGACCACCTTGGGGATCTCTAGCCCTGGTCCTGGAGAGGTGAAGTCCTGCAGATATTGTATTTCACCATTAAATTGCCCATTTCGTATGATAGGGAGCAATTCCATTGTAATCCATTAAAAGTGTTCAATTAGCTAATTTTGGACTAACATCTAAGTACTCTTCAGCCCTTGAGGACCAGAGTTCTGTAAATTGAACAGATTTCTTGATTCATCAGTAGCTCACAGGAGTTGTCAGTCTTTCTACTAGGTTGGTGTTCTCCAGGACCATGGCTGAAGACCTCTACTTGCTAAAGTCAAGACTGCAGTGATCCAGAATACTGGCTTGGAGCTGGTGGCTGATCACTGTGCTGCATGGGTGTGGGGTTTAGTTGGAATTGTTCTGTTCAAAACCACTCTGGAAAGAGACAGACCAGGTGTTTGAAGCTGCTGTTACGTGGTTATAGACTGATAAAAAAGGAGCAAGACCAGTAACTCTGTAATTGTTTCAAGTTGGAGAGCACAATCATTGCTGTTTCAAAGTGGCATTTTAGCCTGTGTGTTTCTATTGAACACCTGTGACAAACTCATTAAGCAGTTCCCCTTTAATGCAAATGCATAGGTTTTGTTCATTCTGCCATTTGGTAATGAGCACTTGTTCTCAACAAAAAAGTTTCTTAATGTTTTGCCAGTTAGTTGTAACTAAGGACTGAGTTTTGATCACCTGTTTTCAGTTTAAGTTCTGCTTCTGTTCCAGACTAGAGCAGGATTGAGAGTGGTAGAGTTCCAGAGTTCTGTTTTGTGAGCAAGGAATTAGCCAGCTAATAATTTATGTGGCTGATGCTTTTGTTCAAAGCAACATTTGCACTCATTTATACAGCTGGGGATTTTAACTGGAAGGTTTTCGGGTGAAGTACTTTGCTCAAGAGTGCAACTAGAGGGTCTTGCTTGGGAATTTATCCTGCAACCTCCCGCTAATGAGTCCAGAAACCTAACCACTCGAGTAGAGTACCCATTCATGGCGTTAACCTGAACACGCTACTATGCAGTTCTCATAGTCTCGTTTCCTGCCTTCTGTTCATGTTGATGGTGATGTTCATTCCAGGTCACTGGTTCCTGCTCCAGCTGTTCCGGGGCTGTGTGACGCTCCATCGCCGGAGAAGTGCCTCCCCACCTATGCTATGTCCAGGGAATACAGCCTCGGAGACAGAGATCCTCAAGTTTGGTTGCCTGACCTCATCTACCCCCGACAGGTCAATCACAATACCTTCCTCCTACTTTGTTTTTCATTACAGCTAGGAAAGCCAGTCTAGGAACGGAAAGACAATGGTCCATAGTGGGATTTTACAGAGAACAGCCATCTTGTACTGTGTACCCCAAAACGGATACCAAGATCTCGATCAGGGATTTATAGTTGAAAGAACTGAAGAAGTGGTATCGCATCTAACCTGACTCTCTGGTTTTCACTACTTGGACATATCATAAAAGCCTTAGAGGAGAGTCATGGGGAGGGCATCTTAAGATCATCAATGCCACAGCTGGGCAGGAGATGTCTGCAGTGTGTTTTATAGCTGTTAAATATTTGGAGAGCTCTTTTAAGCTTGTAGATATGACTGACAGGAGTATTGCAAAGCTCAAAGTCCGGCTGAAACCTGGCCGATCTGGAGCAGTCTTGTCTTCCTTTGACACTCTCTTGATGCATCTCCATCTGCAGAGATCCAGGAGAGGCTGGTGTAAAGCTGGAGCAGGACAGTTACATCTTCGGTGAGTGAAAGGCGCAGTGCTCGGTTGTCAAATAACTTTTTATTTTTCCTCCACGCATCCACTCTCCTATAACAATGAGAAAAAGAGGAGAAAGGAGCTGTGAAAGTCACTTCTCGGTCTCTCCTTCCTCCTCTGTCAGACGAGCCCAGCATGGCCGGTGTGTCTCGCCCCCCTCAGACGACCCCCAGCCACTCCACTCCGCTGTTCAAGAGCCGGCGCAGCCTGCCGGGGGTAAGAGCTAGTCCACAGAGTCTGTCACCTGTAGGAAATCCGTTCACTTCTGTGCTGAAACATGGTGCTACAGTCTTCCTGAATGGTTGGCACAAACGCCACACTGACCTCTAGGTCTCCTGAGGAAGTTGAGAAACATTACTTACCTTAATCTATAATTGAACTTGTTGATTATCTATGTTTTTCTAATTTTGTGTTGATATTGGAGTACTGATGATTCACGATGCAGGTAGCGCTAGAGGGCATACGGCAGAGGAATCTGGTCACCCTGCTGGATGCTGTGAGTGACTCCCGTAGCTCCAGCCCTAACGTTTCCACAGCGAGCATTGGGTGAGTGGGAGCCTGCCCCTCCCTGTGTCACTCCTACAGTGGTTGAGATTGGTTTACTGCAAGCAGGCCCTACCCTTGTGCACAAACTAAGATACGCCTGACTTTCTCCGTTTCCATACTGTACTTTTGCCCTCCCTTCCAATCCCATCTCCCTTTTAGCTTTTTGTTCTGACTTTCTATTGTGCCTTGCAAGAGTATTACCCCTTTCCAATGAGGTCTCATTTTCTTGAATTACTTAGGATGTGCACACTTTTTAAAGTAAATATTTTTATATCAAATCTTGAGTCTCTAACTTTTCAGTTTTAGAGATGAAAAGTTAAATAAAAACTCCAAAGGTATTCTCATTTTCTTGGCCATCAGTCTTTCCTATGGCAATCCTGAACTAGTTCAAATCCACAAAATTTCCACAATTAGTTGAATGGATTCTGTGTGCAGTAATAGTGGTTCACATGATTTCACTATAAATATGCATCTGTGTAGGGACCCTCATTTAGAATTGAATTTTGAGCAAAGACTCGTCCAATAAAGACCAAAGAGTTCTCAAAAAAACTTGGTAATGTTATAGAACAGTACAAATCAGGAGAAGGGTATTAAGAACTTCAGCTACACAGAATCTGATTATTCTGAAATGGAAGGGGTGGATAAAAAATATTCACTTTAACAACTGTCCTCAAATGCATCATTTGTAATATAGCAAAAATGGACATAATTGAATTTGACAAGATACTGCATAGACTGTACCTCCATTTTACTTTCTATTCCCATGTTTAACGTGTCTGAAACAGTTCCTGGAGGACCTGGTGTGTCTTCTTGTTATTGTTCCACATGAGTCCTTGGAGACCTAGTTGGTCTAATTTAACAATTCTTCTGTGGTGATTGCAGACTACTCTACCTTCAGTGAAGTCAATCTTTTGTGTAATTAAATGTAAGGGATGTTAAGAAAACACCTCTTTAGGCTGATTACCTAACTGCTTAGGTACAGTAGGAGTGAAAACCAGAGGAGCACTCTAGGAAACAAGCATGAGGCCTTAGCTATACTTGTATTTGCTCCAAACCTTCAACGATTTTTAGCCATGCATTCAAATTTAATTTGCCTTTTATAACTCTCACCCCTCATATAACGTAATCATAAAGCACAAATACTCCTGGATGAGCCGTTATCAATCTACAGTTCTATATACTGTGCATTCTGTATACTGAGATCCTGTGAGTAATGTGCTTAAATGTCTTTTAAAGAATGTGAAGGGGTCATTTAGTGATCTGAAACTCGTGGTTCCTGCCTTTTGGTGCATGGTCTTTCCCGGGTTGTGCATGAAATTACCACTCATCCTTCTCTCTTCTGCTCACTCCGTACTCTATCCATCTCCCAGCTATGTAAACTTTTTTTCCTTCTCTCCGCGGGCAGCTCCATGTCCGGCAGACAGCTGTGCAATGGCGTCACAAAGATGGGACAAGTGTGTAAGAAGAGGGCGGTGCTGGGTCAGGACTACTGCAGATTGCACGAGGGTGGCCACACGTCCTACACCCCCCCCCTCTGATGGCCCACCCCACACCACTCCACCACCAGTCCTGCTGTCTCCAGGAGACAATTGACCTCGCTCCACCCGAGGTTTCGATATCTTAATGCGTCAATACTTTCTCTGGACCTCAGTGTTGAGATCAAGTGCATCTTATTAGCTATAAAATTATTTTAGAAAACATTGTCCAATGAAGCCAGTGATTGAATTGGTACAGGGGTCTGAGGGACTAGTCTCACACCTGTTCTCTAGTCCGGTGTTTCCTGATTCTAGTCCTCTGCACTTTGACACCTGCTGGTTTTTGTTCCAAAAGAGATCTCTGGTTTCTTTTAACTAAAAACCTGTTAATGATTTTAATATATTTGGAACTTTGATATTTATGTAAAAGATAAAAGGGAACCTCCAATATGCACAGGAGGAAAAACACAAATGAATGATTTTAGAGCTTGGTAACCCCTACTCTAGACCTTTTTGTAACCTTTCTTCAACTCCCAGTCAGTCCATTCCAGTTCCTTGAGTGTCTTTATCCCACATGGGTCAGATTGTAGTAACTGCTGACCTCCAAATCCGATCCCCAAAGGCTACACTCTGGTGGGTTAAAGCCCATGATGTTTCTTACTGTGGTGAGTCTTTTGAAGAGCCTGATGTAGCTGGGTTAGTTTGGTACTGGGATACAAGTGTGGAGGGTTCTTACATTTACATATGAATAAATCAGTACCAGTCATCTTTATGTGGACGTGGTTACACTGTGTGTGCTTAGAATGGTTGGGGGGGAAAAATTATGCAAGATTTATACTGGCCAAGTGAAAAGATTAAAAATTTTCCAAGTTGAGGTTATAGGTCTTTGCTTAGTGGTATGTTCTCTCTCAATTATGTGGCCTTGTATGTGTCTGTTATTTATATTGTAATTTTTATTTTTTCACTTAAAATAAATAAGTTTTTCCTGTCTTATTTCAATGTACTGTGTGTGTGTGGGGGGGGGGATGGGGTAGCACTACAGGAAAACTGTGATTGTCAAAAGCAGTGACCACAGTCTCTTCTTTGTAGTTGTACTAAAAAGTAATTCAAGAGGAATAACACCACCCCAGAATTAAATGCATTGAAAATGTTTGAGTATTTTAGTCACCGTAAGTTTGGCTTTACTTGCAATGTTGCGGGCCAAGCTCCTGGACATACTGTAGATCTAGGAGGCTGAGACCCCAATAGAGAGAGGAGAGACCAAGAACAGCTACAAAGGTGGAGAGGCAGAGGAGGAATACAAAAGATGAATTAAGGAGAGAAGGGGCCTTTGTATAGTATTAGTGTCTAACACAAGGAAAGGACATTGGGAATGATTAAGATTGTTGGACAGCTGAGGCTAAACTTAGCTTGTTATCCTGCTCAAATGTTTATTTTAAACTCTGTTCTTGTAGAAGATAAACAGGATCCTATTTCTGGATTGGTTTTAAATTAGGTGGAAGCTTGAATTGGGAGAAAATGCTGAACGGAAGACCCGTTTTGAAGACTGGAGTTCTTAGAACTATTCTGAAATCTTCAAAATGAAAACCTTTTCTTTACCATCTTTTGATTTAAAAGTGGTCTACACCACTAGCTGATGGTAGCAATTCCCCATGCATTGTACAATTAACGGGGAGCTGTAAAAAAGTCAGGACCACCTTCTCTTTTCCTACATTGGGCATGCCAGTGATCCCCGCAGTTCAGCAGACAGACACAGACTTGCAGTGATATCGAAGAGGCATGTCTTTCCTTTACCCAGTGTGAGCTTTACTGTTGGATCAGATGGTACTGGTTGAAACCTGGAATCGACAATTGTTTCTTCACCGTGTATAAAACGAAAGATTAAAAAAACTTTTCAGGCCATGCTGCACAAAATGGCTGAAGGCACTTTCTGTTAGCTGAAAGGATCAGGCTATGTGGATTGAACACTTGGCCTTGACTCTCAGAAGCTAAACCCAGTAACAATGAAAAAAGTTACTGAGAGGAAAGGAGGAACAAATAAGGGGGACCTTAGGAGGCAGAGCACAGGGTGAGTCTGACTGGATCCTTAAGATAGCCCAGGGAACAGTAAAAACAACTGTTAGAATGAACAGCCTCTTGTAAAATGAATAAGCTTTGTGATATAAAAATGGTGGACATAAACAGCTGAATCTGCTTTTCTAGCCAGCAGCCATATTACTCCACAACTCGCAACTGGCAACCCATTGAAGCTAAGCAGGTGTGAGCCTGGTCAGTACCTGGATGGCAGACTAATGTTGCTGCTGGAAGAGGTAGTAGTGGGGCCAGCAGGGGGCGCTCACGATGCAGCCCATGTGGGTCCTAATGCCCCAGTCCCCATTACCTGTAAAACGCTTTGAGTGGAGTGTCCAGAAAAGTGCTACATAAGTGTAAGCAATTATTATTTTTGATAATTCCTGCTGTAACTGGGAATATGGTCACAGAGATTCTCCCTCTCCAGAAAGCGAAAAAACCTGGATCGCTGGAATTCTCTCTTGCAAGTCTCTGATTCCTGGTTTAGATTCTAACATACTGAAGACATGGAAAAACTTGATTTCCTTTTAACTCACATAGGAATAAAAATAGGTTTTGATTCTATTTTTTTTAATGAGCAGCTATGTGCAGCCAAATCAGTTAAATTAATGAAGAAACTGTATTAAACTCTTGCTCTATGTAACCCTAAAAAGAGTTTAATTTCGATATACAAAACAAATGTTTTAATGTATCTGTTATTAAAGCATATAAAAACTTCCCAGCTTCTGAGTTCAATGTCACACACAATTTATTCAACGTAACATCAACTGATGTACTTGACTCATCTGCTGAGAGTTGCACTCGATTTTTCTGAGCACAGCTTTTGGATTGCATTACACATGAGCCACACTCTCTTTTACGTTTGGAGATGAGATGTCACTTACTTAAATTAACTACTTAATTCTTTTATGCAAAGCTTTCGGATTCTAAAGGTTTGAAAACATTAAAAAAGGCAAATTTGGGAAATTCCATTCAAGTAATGGACATCTGAGCTAGAAGACATTAGGCCCTAAGCAGCCCTGAACCAGAGATTCACAACCAGAGGCACAACACCCCGCTGTGTATGAATGGAGATACCTCAGTATACCTCAAACTGTGACAGAACTCCAAAACGGCCTTTTTTTAAATTTTCCAGCACTTCCTGAGCAGCAACACCTAACAAGTACAGCACTGTACATTACAAACCCTATACCAAATCACCTCAGGAACAAATGGTCATTTCTAATTATTATACACTAGTTAAATCATTCATTAATCCTTTTGATTTTAAGAGGTTGTGCTCTAGTTAGCAGTTGTAGTTGATGCATCCTATTTCCTCCATTAGCTGGTCCCTCAGTATGAAAAAATAAAAATGAGAAAAGAAATGTGTGAGAGCAAAGGTGATGTCTGCACACAAAAAAAGCACATAGCGTCACAGATAGGGATTATAGGTTTAGGGTAGGTGGCAGGATGTCCACCACATGAATGCACTAGAGCAGTGAATCTCATGTTCCCGAAGAGCCACAAAGCCTTCCGATTCTCATCTCAGTTTGATCTCCTAATGACTTAGCTGAATCAATAATTGACTCAATTGATTACAGCAGCCCTTTTATTCATTGATAGTGTTGAGCTCCCGATAAAGCTGTAATCTTCTAGGCCCAGGCGTGAGCTGGGGATAGCAGGATCTGCCCTCTGGGACCTCCAGGTGTGCTGCTAACTGAAGAACAGGCGATCAACCCTGATTCTGTTGAGTACACCTAGCGACCCAAAGTCAAGAAAGTGAAATTAGAGAGACAACTACAGCTGTTAACACCAAAGAGAATCATGGAAGACCCACAAACCAAATATAGCCACCAACCAGAAAACCACTGGACCACACCACATGAACTTTCAGGGTCAGAAACATGTTCAGAATTGATTAAATTATGTCCAGCAAAAAAACTGTGTCCTTTCTAACTGTTACTGTTTCTTCCAATCTGAATTCATGTTTCTCAACTGTTTCAGTCTGTCAAGGCTACAATTATGAATATGAGTATTTACAGCTGATTTATTTCCCTAACTGTCCCAAAACAGGGGTCAAAGACTCAATTCCTAGGGGTCTAGTGACTGTCTCTTCTGGTATTTCTTCAGTCCTTGTTCTCAGTTACAAAAATGGCCTAATAAACTAACTGCATAATTTTAATATTCATAACCAGGTTCCAGAATGCTACATAGATAACAGTACCTTTAATGAAGAGAAGGTTCAAAGTAAGACACCTTAAGTGTGTTAAGGTTTGTCTAATAATTAGATGAACAAATTTACTACTACTCAGTTTTTAGACAAAAACTGAAGACCCCAGGAACAGAGTCTGAGAATCCATGTCCCAGAACGATCTGTGTTTTCTTGAGGTAGCTGAAACTGACGAACAGCTGCTCCTCCAGTAAGGCAAAAGAGGCATCATTTCCGGGCTGTGTCATAGTTGGCCACGAACCAGTCGCAGGTCTCCTTCACAGCTGAAAGAGGAAAAGGAGAATAAGATATTGGCTTCCATGGTGCTGCTTACAGTGTGCTATTATACTCTGTTCTGGAAACTGCAGGTGTATGATCCTAAAATTCAATCCTCAGTACAGTGTAGAATTAAATTGGTACATTACATTACAGGTAATCAAGGCAGCAAAGTGGGCCTCACTCAAACACTGCAGCTTCATTCCTAGAAACCCTTAAAAAACATTTTATACAGGAAATATTTGGTAATGTAAGAACTGGGTCTCATGTTCCTAGTCAACCTTTCTTTCCATACATGAAGGCCTAAAATAATAGGGGCTTAAAACACTATCTGCTTCAAAGCAGAATAACAGCTGTAATTTTGTCTCTGAAGTGGTCACTTTCCTAGTCTCCTTAGCTTTACAATCCAAGGATCACCTCCCTGTTGAGCATTCCGGCTGATGAGGTAAAAAAACCCTAGCTGTGGCTGCACAGAGAGTCAGCAGGCAAAGAGCGTTCTAGTAATTCATGGATAGTAATTCACGAGCAGTAACAGAAACAACGATAAGAAAATAATCATCTTGAAGTTCAGTGTGATGGATACAGTGAAGCGCGATGCAGCAAAGATCAGCCAGCTTGCCCTAACCTTGTCGGAAGGGGGTGAACTTGAACTCAGAGAGGTACTGCCTCAGCTTCTTGTTGCTGGCTGTCTTCTTGAACTGGCCGTCTGCTTTGGAGGTGTCAAACTGGTGTCAGGTCAAGGAGGAAGAAACAGCAAACGGCAGTGTAAAAAGATGACAATGTACTGAATAAAAACTGACATGGGGAGGTGGTGTGTTATTTGTACAGACACTGCAATGTAGTTTTGGCTCAATGAAGGATACTACCACTTGACCTTTGAACCCAAGAGACTCCACAATACACTCTGCTGCGTCTTTAATAGACACCTCCTCCTCCTCACCCACTGAAACAACACAAAACACACAAACAGTACAGGGTTACTGCAACTGTATAGAATACTAACATGGGTCAGAATTACAAAGGGGTGTATACTGACCAGGTATGTCAAGAAAATTCAACCTTTTGGAATGTGACAGAAATCTAGTGTCATCCACGTTTAGTAGGGCAGCTAGATCTTTAATTCCCTGGAGATCATTGCCAACTTAGATACAATGCAAAGTTTAATTTAATAGGACATATCCATTTGTCACTGAGAAGCTATTGTGTCTATAAGAGAGGGCAAACAATACCTTCACTAAAGATTTGACATTTGAAGTTAGTCTTGAAGTTTAGAAGAATGTTCTGAAAATTGACACTGTCAAGACTCTTTCTGAAAAGATTTTGAGAAAAATGTATTTGTTTTGTTTATTCCTTGTTGTCAAGTAGTTTCAACATCCGACCTTTTAAATAAGCGTGAGTACTACTAAAATTGGGGGAAAAATAAGTTAAATATTTATTTTGGAAAGGATTTTAAATACTCCAGACAGCACTGCATTTTTTTCTGACTAAAGCATCATGACATTTGAATTTCATTTTTTTTTTAATTCTTTTACATTTTTATTTAGAAAATAATGCTAAAAGAGCATCTGCACATCTGTCCCGACCTCAGTTGATGAGTAGAGTGCATATGTGAATATACAGTGCTCATGTGTCAGTGCAATGTGATGGCCAGTATTGCTAAAGTAACATTCTCACCTGACAGGATTATCGGATCTACTTCCTTATACTCTCTGAGTACCCAGAGAAACAGACGAGCCAAATCCTGGAAAATCACAACACAACAATCAATCAGAAGTAACTGTGCCAGCAGCTGTTATTGTGTCCCCTATACTAATTCACATATTTTGCCAATAAGGCTCTTTGAATTTGAAATGTATATTTGTACAGTTGTTTAGACATTCAGACTATCACTACTGACAAGACAATTCACAGAGGTACTGTGAATTAAATTTGGACATTTTAATCCCCTGACACATGAAACAATATTTTCTGTTTATGTCCCAAATGAGCAGCTAAAAGTGTGTCTATTCTCTGCAGGAATGACAATAAAAAACACATACCAGAGAGTAAATAAACTGCCTTCGTGGCGTTCCTGATCCCCACACCGTCAGACTTGAGCCCTCTTCTGGACAGGAAGAAAAAAAAGAGAGGGACTTGAAGGAGGGAGACTCACTGGGTCCACTGAATGTAATGTCAGTGAGACACGAGAAACAGCAGGAGCGGGGATGTTGTATGTGTGATAAGAGAAAGTACTCTATGTAGGTGAGCTTCACCTAGTGAACAGCAGCGAACTCACTGTTGTGTGAGGCAGGGCTTTAGAAGAGAGGAAGAGAGAGGACACACAAACAGCGTGGCTCACTTTGTGCGAGGTATGTCTTGTGGATTAGTCCCGGCAGCACGTGGCCATCCTGAATGTTGAAGTTGTCATGCGGGCCGAACACGTTGGTGGGGATCACTGCGGTGAAGAGGTCCCTGTGCTGCTGGAAATACGCCCTGCAGACAGACCCCCAAAGAATCATACAGAGAAAAAAAACAGACACATACAAAGACGAAAAGGGCATTGTATACAACATAAACTAACCAAGTAGCACAACGCGGTTTTCTTACAGTTTCATACAGTGTATATAATTTTGTTTTCCTTTTTGTCAGCACTTTCCATTCACACTGAAAGTGATAGTAGATATACACTAGTACCATCTCTATTAATTATCTTAGTGCCAACACTGCCAGGCCAAGTAACTTCCTCAGCAAAAGGTCATTACAGACAGACAAGGATAGTACCTGTTCTGCACGTCGATCATCCTCTTAGCATACGAGTAACCAAAGTTGGAGCTGTGGGGTGGCCCGTTGTGGATCTGTGGTGGGGAGGGGCATATAGGACACTGACTTATCTCGATAGGGAAAAAAAGACCCTCAACTTGTGTCTCTGTTCCCTTATTCCCGTCACATAGCAGAAAGCAGCATTGGCCCTGCTTTTTATGCCCAGTAGAGAACAGAATAATCACCACTCCTCCTTCCCAAACTGCACAACTTCCCACCCCCACCTGGGAATGAATGGAACTGCTGTACGGTCTCCATTCCCATTCCTGCTGGACTATTTTATCTCAACGACATGACAGCTCCACATCCCTCCCAGTCTCATGTCTATGATCTCTCCTCAGCAGGTCAGATTCTGGCCCATTCTCCATTCACCCCAATTCTGAAATTCCCCCCTGCTCCTTTTCCTTTGTGCTGCAGTCCCTCCATCTCTCACCATGGTCTCATCGATGGGATAGGTGGTCTTGTCAGGGAAGATGCAGGTGGACAAACAGGACACAACCTTGCAGACCCCTAGCTCATGGGCAGTCTGGAGGACATTGTCATTCATGCGGATGTTGTTCCTCTGTAGGAATAAGAAACAATGAACACAGTCCAAAACACATTCAACACCAACCCTCCATTGCTCCTTCAGCTGCAAAAGAAGCATCTGCCTCCTTAACATAATCTTTTCCTGTATTTGTATTGGTGTTCATAACCAAGATAAAGAATTAAAAAAAACATCAAATGGGGATTTCTTTAAGTGCACTACTATTCCAAAAAAAGACAAATGTAACATGGGGAGACACAGGCAGCAGTCCGAGATTGATTGAGTGGTTCTTATGCTACGTGATTAATGCTGTCATATTACAGCAGCCTTACTCGCTTAGTGACATTCTGTGCAAGATAAAAATAACTCAAGTCAGAAAAGGTGTTGGGCTCTGGCTCAGTACTCCAGGCTGGCTTTCATTCCACCTCTGATCTTAACTGAGATGAGGAAATATTCAGCGTCACTGGACCATTTTCAGACATATTTACAGTCTCCAGCTACTGATGTTCGAAAGTGAGCAGGAAATCTGTTGGATTCTGGGCCCTGAGTTACACACATGTGGTTTTCCTGGATCAAATAAGCCTCACTCTGCTCTTTCTATGCGCTGCGCCACTCTACATCTGAGGCAAAACTTTAAAGCCAGAGACCTGCAAGTTTTAAACTCCTAATCCTCTTATTGACAAGAACTGGAACAAGCAGGAGGTGTCGATTATGTCTGAAGCAAATCAGAAGTGATCAATATATGAACATATTTCAGAATGAAAATAATAATTCCTTACACTTATGTAGTACTTTTCTGGACACTCCACTCAAAGCACTTTACAATGGGGAATCCCACCACCACCAATGTGTAGCATCCACCTGGATGGCACGAAGGCAAACAAAGCGCATCAGTACGCTCACCACACACCAGTTAACAGTGTGGAGGAGAACAGAGTGGTGAAGCCAAAGCTTCCTGATTTTCTAAAAATTCAAATGAATAATCATCTGAAACTGTCAAAATATCCCATGTCTTAAGAAAGTGCCCTATGAAACCTGTTGGATTGTGGTAAAACCATGATTTACAGCAGTACAACCTCCTAAAATGTAGCTCACCCAGAAATCCAGGTTGTGGCTCATGTTCCTGAACAGCCCCCCCACCATTGCAGCCAGATGGATGACATGGGTGGGTCGGTGCTTCTCAAACACAGCCCGCGTCTCTGTGGCGCTCCTAACACACACAGGGTGACAGTAACCTCATACACTGCATGCATCAACTCTGCAACTACACAGTGCATGAACAGTGCCCCAGTGGAAAGAAGAAACGCATGACGTGAGCCTTGCAGACAGTTTTTTCTGTTCTACCACAGCGCCTTTCCAGGTTAAGCAATAAAATAATAATAATAATAATAATAATAATAATAATAATAATAATAATAATAATAATAATAATAATAATTGCTTACACGTATATAGCGCTTTTCTGGACACTCCACTCAAAGCGCTTTACAGGTAATGGGGACTCTCCTACACCACCACCAATGTGCAGCATCCACCTGGATGATACGACGGTGGTCATAGTGCGCCGGAACGCTCACCACACATCAGCTATCAGTGGGGAGGAGAGCAGAGTAATGAAGCCAATTCATAGATAGGGATTATTAGGAGACCATGATTGGTAAGGGCCAATGGGAAATTTGGCCAGGACGTCGGGGTTACACCCCTACTCTTTTAGAAGAATGCCCTGGGATTTGTAATGACCACAGAGGTCATTACAGGACCTCGGTTTTAAGTCTCATCCGAAGGACGTTGCCTATCCCAAGACACAAGTACACAATCACTGGGTGCAGAGCAAATCACTAAACACTCAACAGCTTCAGTGATTGTGTGAAGCTGAAACTAAAACATTCACACTAAAAAGCTTCAGCGATTTTGTGAAGAGGATTTCTAATTCTGAATACTTACTGAATACTAATTAACAGCTCAACGAATATAGCAATTACACTGCATACAAGTTCAAATTTAGGAGAAAAAGGGGAGAGAAAGATGGGAAGTAAAGACACTGGATATAATGTAAGTCTCCCAGACAAAGAGAGGCGGCTTGTATGATATCTATTTCTGATTTGCTCCTACAGCTGTTCCAGGCAGTTAGTGTTGCCAATGGGATAATGTTACAATCAAGAGAGGAGACTCACGTCAGGTCAGCGTCTCTGGACGACAGGAAGATCCACTCCTCATCGTCATGGCCCTCACCCTCTCTCACCACCCTCTCGATCGCCCGGCCCACCAGCCCTGTGCCCCCTGTCACTAGTATACGCCAGGGCCTGGCACCCTGCTCTGCCATCTGGAGAGAGAAAGATCTGAATGAAGCGGGTGAGGGAGGAACAGGGAAAGCACAGCGCCAGTTCTGTTTCCACACACCCATGTCCTAATGGAATGAGCTGCCTTGCCACACGTATGAGATTTTCAAGCTAGTCTTACAGTCACTTTTGAGAACAAACTCTCTGGAGTGTAATCCAATTTACTCTGACATTCCCTGAGTATACAAATTGGAAGGAAAGTCATCTGTGGTGAAGACACAGTACACGGTTACAGAACTGATGGCAATACTTTAGATAACTAGCAAGACAAATGTTGTGACTATCTATAAAAAAGTCCAACAGAGACTCTTCTTTCTTAGAAAACTCAGCTACTTTAAGGTACATAAAACTATTCTTACACTTTCCTACAAATCATTCATTGAAAGTGTGTTAACATACTGTTTGTTTCACTTGTTGGTTTGGCAACATAAGTACCGGTAATTGTAATAGGCTGGGTAAATTAGTGAACATAAGTGGCAAAATAATCAGGAATAATCAAATCAACTTAAGCAACCTTTACAAACAGAGGGTGACTAAGAAAGCCAAAAGCATCATGGATTGAATTCACACTTTTCCCATCTGAGATGCCTCTGTGCCCCCAGGTGTAAAACCAACAGACTCAGGAAATCTTTCAATCTTCCAATTACAATCTTAAACAATGCAAAGTACTGTAACTACCTTTTCTCTTGTTTCTTTTCTCCTGTAACACTGCTGTATTCTTTTCCCTTTTGATGATGTTTATTTGTCATTGTGTTGTGTTTGACTGTGCCGTAAAACACTAAAACCTGAATTGAAATTGAATAAGAGGTTGAAATTACAGGGAAGTGTGTAAAACTAAGAAGAGGCACTTCTTGATGCAAAGGGCTGTGGGAGTGTACTACTAGAAAACAAACAGGCTTGAATGGCTGAAAAGCCTATCGTTTGTAATCTTTCTAACACTGAGCACAACACCTGGGACAGAATCAAAGCCTATCAGGCAGCTTGGCCTTTTGTGTCCTGCAGGGACTGATGCAGATGCTCATATACAAGGTGGAGACATATGTATACCACAAGAAGTTCATGCAGGGAGCTGCGTCAGCACGTGTAGGCTGCAAAGAAACGGTAAAAGTTTACTCCATGGTGATAGGAAAAGAGAAAAAAGTTTCATCCTTGGAAAACGTTGTGTCTCATTTCTTTTCCTTTCAGTGTGGACTAAACCTTTATCTGCTCCATTTATATCACAACTACAGTGTTGCGGTGGGAAACAATACTGTATATGTCTGGGAAGGGTTTGTTTCCTCTATTAAAGCAGAGATCGGCAATTTAATTACCACCGCAGTTACTAGTCTCGACTAATTACATTCAATTTGACGGCGTTAGGACATCGCGAACTCTGCGGAACAGGCTGCGAGCCACCCTCGCTCCTTATAATTGTGAAATGTGTCTTTTTCCCTTACATAGTGCGTATAATGTACTAAAATGCGTATACAAAGTACACTGTGTACAGTATACAGCGCAATATACTGTAAGAAACTGTATTTGTGAGTTTTTAATTTCATGGCATTGAAGGAATGAAATAAAAAGAAGGAAACTACATACTGCCTTGGGCGCAAATATTATTATTATTAATAAAACCAATAACATCAATAATAATAGTTATTACTTAGAAAGCGCTTTAGCAGCTTTTCAAGAAAGGATTTGTTAAATTAAAAATATATTTGACAGCACTACACAGACCTCCTGTCGCGAATAAACCAAAAAGAGATGACTGCTCTGGTGTACTGGACTGTCAGTCACTGAAGGACTCGATTACTAGAGGAATTCTGAAGGAATAGACTGATGGAAACTGATGTTTGCTCCGGAGGTTTCAGACTGCAGAAGGGACGCAGGGGCGATCAGGAAGTATATTCGCTGGGTGCTGTCGGTTTTCAGCACTTCGTACAGCAATGTGTTATTCGGTGATGTTCATAGACACGTTTCTCTATATGGGACACTCTAATTTCTGATGAAAGCTAATATACTGTAAACTGGAAATACACTAAGCAGTCTGAACTCATTGAATGGGAGGCTGAGCCTTTCCACCTGTTGGTAAGACAGTGACCTATCGTTGCACTCACAGGTAATTTCCAATTCAACACTCTTTCATTCGTAACACCTAATATTAGTTAGCAATTTTTACTAAAATATAACACTCTAGAAAGAATGGATGATCGGCCTAACCAATCTCATTCAGAGAACAAATGATTTTATCGCTCTTCCTGTCTAATTTAAGAGCTAACGCGTAATCCGTTTAATCTGCTTTTTTAAATCATTATTCAGATTTCGCAACTACGTCATAAATAAACACTGAAAATATTTTACTTAATGTATACTTACTCTCTAGTATTTTCAAGCCACACTGCTTACGTGGTTCGTTTGATCCTGTTGAACCAGCTTACTCTCGCTAGCGAATGTCCTTCTGGGAAAGAAAAGCAGAGCTTCATGGGAAATGTATTTTTTGACCTGGTATTCATGGCGAGACATTGAAGCACATTCATAAGAACACAAAAAACCGAAACGTTGTTACCAGATTCTTATGGTTTTCAGTTATAAATTCTACGTTTGGTAGTTAAATGATCCTTGTAAGAAGCCAGGCTTGATATTATAGATGGGTAGCTATTTCCAGACACCCACAGCACTTTGTTTAAAGTAGCACTTACAGTTAATAATAATAATAATAATAATAATAATAATAATAATAATAATAATTCTTCTTCTTATTATTATTATTATTAGTAGTAGTAGTAGTAGTAGTAGTATTTCTTACATTTACTGTATATAGCACTTTTCTGGACATTCCGCTTTACAGGTAATGGGAACTACCCTACACCACCAATGTGCAGCACCACCTGGATGATGTAACGGCAGTCATAGTGCACCAGTACACTCACCACACATCAGCTATCAGTGGGGAGGAGCACAGAAGCTAATTCATATATGGGGATTATTAGGGGGCCATGATTGGTAAAGGCCAATGGGAAATTTGGTCAGGACACTTGGGTGCACCCTTACTCTTTTCGAGAAACACTCTGGGATTTTTAATGACCACAGAGAGTCAGCATCTCATTTTTATGTCTCATCCAAAGGATGGTGTCTTTTTAGTGTCCCTGTTATTATATTGGGGCATTAGGACCCACACAGACCACAGGGTGAGCGCCCCCTGCTTGTCCCACTAACACCTCTTCCAGCATCAACCTTAGTTTTTCCCAGGATGTCTCCCATACAGGTACTGACCTGGCTCTCACCTCCTGAGCTTCAGTGGGTTGCTAGTTGTGAGTTGCAAGGTGAACTGGCTGTTGGCAGTCGGTTTGCATTTGTGTCCTTAGGTTTGTTTTTCATTGTTTATTCTGAAGATGTCCATAAGGTAGATTTTGACATTACTTTTGATAATTTTGAATACTTGCATCAGGGACCCCCATTGTCTGCCCTGCCCTCAAGACTAACGAGGTTGAATTCCTCGTAGAACATTCCATCCTGAAGCCCAGTAATGTATCTGCTCTCCTCCGGATTGATTTCAGTAACTCATTGTCAAGCATCATAAAATTAAAAATAACACACCTTAATTTCAAGTTTACATTTTAAACAAATTTATACTAACATTCTGTTGCTTTTTAAATTGCTTCCTCATTTTGTTTAGAGAATATTAAAATTGTGTCAGTGTATACACCTTTTTCACTTGCTTGTCCTCTGGTTTCCTCCCACAGTCCAAAGACATACCGATAGGTTTATTGGTTTCTGGGACTGGTTTTAGGTGTGTGTGTGTGTAGCTGTATCTGTGTCTGTGCTTGCCCTGTACTGATGGACTGGCGCCCCATCCAGGGTGTATTCTTCCTTGCACCTGTTGCTCCAGCTTCCCCTGTGACCCTGTACTGGAAAAGAGGATTAGAAAATGGATGGTTCAAGGGTTATAATGATTTTCAATTCAATCCGATATCCTACAACACCATCTTGTAGGATTATCCCATCAGATTTGAGAAGCTGCTGCTTGTCCTGCTTCTGCTGTCATTGGTATTTGAAGATAAAGATTAGTACTGACACCTGCCGCTGACCCAGTTAGAAGCTCACATTTGTTTTCAGCATTAGTAGTACCTGTGTAAGTGTGGCAGTTTTTTTGTAGGTATTCTGAAAATTTAAAATTGTGAATAATTTCAATTTACAGCTAGATCTAGATTTTTTTTTCTTTTAAGTTCAATTTAAATTAGATTTTAAAATAGCCACATTCACCTCTAGACTATTGTGTCTTTGGACCTCAGCGGTCATATGACTTCGCTGGGCAGGTCATGTGACCTCGGAATGGCAGCGCCCATGGATGGTGGCGTAAAAGCGGAGTTCCCGTGGAGTAGGCAGCGGGTATTGGATCTGATCCGGCTGTATGAGGCGGAGGAGGTGTTGTGGAATGGCCGGTGCCGGGACTACCACAACAAGGCCATGCGACAGGCTGCGCTCGATCGCCTCAGCGCCAAACTGGCTGTGCCCGGTGAGTTAGGCCGGCCGGGGAAGCCGCCACAACAAACACTGGAACGAAGAGTGGAGGACAAGAGGGCTTGTTTGGAGATGGGAAGCGGGGGTCGTCTGCAGCTGTTAACCTTTAATCTGCGCTCGTATGGCACTGTCTGGGTCTCTTTCATTGCATTGGTAAATGTGTGTTTTGCGATTTGTTGTATTACAGAAAAAAGCACGCCAACTATTGTTAAAAGCATAACGGGAACAGGAGCTCTCGTTCAGCCCTTTAGGTGCCCGGTTTTTGTCAGGCAGCTCATGTCTTCCAGGAATGCAGTAATTATTCCTAAATGGTATTTATATGGGCTACAGTCCGGAGTATAATGTTGCTTCTACAATAGTAATGCACTTCGCTCTCATCAAGCCGTTTTTACACGTTTTTTTCTGTCCTTCAAATCGTTTCGTTTTAGGATTTCTGCCTACTTCAAGCATTAGAGACGAGAGTCTATATGCAATTTGTTTGCATTCTAATCCAGTTTTTTTGTAATCTGAATTGGAATGACAAAACGTTATGAATCTCCGTCAAGCCTTTTAATGCAAAGACTAGTCGCAGCGGGGTTGTACGATGCAGTTGAGCTAAAGCAAATAAGGTGACGCAGCTTCTGCTCCCCTCTAGTGAACGAGGTGAACAAGAAGCTGATGAACCTGCGGACTTACTACAGCAAGGAGCTGGCGAAGGTCAAGCGGTCTCGGGTGCGCCCGGGGGCGGGAGGGCAGGTGTACCGCTCACAGTGGCCCTTTTTTCATCACATGGACCTCTTCCTCAGCTCGCAGGTCGTCCCTCGTAAGACCGCCGTGCAGGTAAGCGTGCAGAGAGCTGAGTATCCGCGCTCAATACAGAATATATCCCGAGAGTCCCATAACGACCTGTGTGGGAAGTAGAAACAGCGTTAGTAAATTAAATTAAAATAATTGCTATTTGATAAAACATGTCCAGTGCCAGAACAGCAGTTCTGTTATGCTATGTGATTGTGATCCACTACCTGTAGCAACTCTTCATATGTGCTTCCTTTTTTCATTAAATGTATTTAACAAGATAAGTCAACTGACGGCAAGTTATCGTTTACAATGGAGGATTATCAACAGGACTTTTGTCAGCACCCACATCACCCTGCAACTCACAACTAACAACCCACTGAAGCTCAGCAGGCGTGAGCCTGGTCAGTACCTGGATGAGAGACCTCTTGGGAAAAACTAGGGTTGCTGCTGGAAGAGGTGTTAGTGGGGCCAGTAGGAGGCGCTCACCCTGTGGTCTGTGTGGGTACTAATGCCCCAGTATAGTGATGGGGACACTATACTGTAAAAAGGCACTGTCCTTTAGATGAGACATAAAGCTGAGGTCCTGACTCTCTGTGGTTATTAAAAAATCCCTGGGTGTTTCTCGAAAAGAGTAGGGGTATTAGATACCCCAGTGTCCTGGCCAAATTTCCCATTGGCTTTTACCGGTCATGGCCTCGTGATAATCCCATCTGTGTATTGGCTTCATCACTCTGCTCTCCTCCCCACTTATAGCTGATGGGTGGTGAGCGTACTGGTGCACTATTGCTGCCTTCGCATCATCCAGGTGGGAGCTGTACATTGGTGGTGGTGGAGTGTAAAGTATACCTGTAAAGTACTAGTGTAAGGAATTAATTATTATTTAAATTCACCTGTCCAGGATTTGAACCCGTGGCCCTCCAGTTTAGACTGGAAGACTAAAACAACTATGTACTTAATCCTTCCTTCCTAGCCTACATCCCTGTTCTCTAGGGTGAGTTGAAACAGATGTGGAAAACGTGGTGTGGCTGAGGTAGATCCCAGCTGGCCTCATGCCCTGTAGTCTGGTGCGCGGTAATGGATCCCAGTTTCTCAGAGAGCGTCTTTGCTTGCTGCTGTCCTCCAGGAGCCGTGTGAGGAGAATGGGGGAGCAGAAGGGAACCTCGAAGGAGGAGAAGTGCGCCTCAGCAGTGAAGACCTTGACCCCACAGTCGCAGGGGGCACCTCCAGTCTAGGGGCAGGGGCAGCGCCACGCCGCAGGGCGCCCGAGACCCTGCACCGCGCACACAGCAAGCGCAACAGAGAGGACCTGCTGCTGCAGGAGGCCGCGCGGGCCTACAGGACCGCGGCCGCTGCTGGCCTGCCGCCCGCCCCGCTGCCCCCACGCCCCGACGACGAGGACGACATCTTCGGCAAGCACGTGGCCAATGAGCTGCGACTGGTGGGCAACCTGCGGGCCAAGCAGTTCGCCAAGCTGCAGATCCAGAACATTCTGTTCGAGGCCCAGTTCGGCCTGTCCCAGCCACCCCACTTCGGACACGGGTTCGAGTCGCAGGCCCCTGCCCCTGCTGCTGCCTCCCTGTCGTCCCCTGAGGGCCTCTCTGATTCCGACTGCCATCTTGACCACCCCCATCAGTCCCCTCACAGAGACAGGACCCCTTTCTCTCGCAAGGCTGGCGCTTACTACAAGAGTGAGCCCTCAGAGTGAGAGACCACCCCCTTCCAAGACTTTTGCCAAAGGAAGGGTTGTAGACCACTGAACAGACCACCAGCCAGACAGACCTACCTCATGAGCTTGCTGATATACTGACTGACTGGCTGCTGAAGCAATAGTGGGCTTTCTACCTTTAGGCCACAGTCAGCTGTCTGGACACATTCCTCAGGCCTGTTCTTTTTTCTGATACTTCTTATTTTTTTTATTCTTGTGACTGATTCAAGGATCTTTGTGGGTAAGGTTCTTACTAGTGGTCCTGTTGTGCTAACAGGATCCTATCCAGATCAGCTTATGTAGAGATCCAGACCTGTGCAGATCATTAGATGGTATTAAAAGGATGTTGAGGTGCCCTCAGTGTGCTCAGCCCTGCCTCAAATTCCAGTCCCTTTTTCAGCCAGGATCACAGTGTAATCCATCTTTTTTCAGAATTGTGAGACCTTCAGTGTCATATGGTCTCAAATGAAAACAAATACTATATGAAATTAGGCTGCAGAATGCTGGTTTAAAACGTACAGACAACACGATCAACTGCCAATAACTCCAGTAAAATAAATTGGAGATGGACTTGTTCTTAGTGGGCCCAGCACAGCCATGTCTAGGGCACCCTTTTTAAAATTATTTAATAGAATGTTTAGATTTTCTTATAAGGATATTTTCCTGCAGAGGTGATTGATTTAGAGCAAATGTCTGTGAGTGTTGTTAAATCATACATTTAAATTCTTAAGGCTTATCTGTTACATTGAAATGCAAGTATGAAAGTCTGTTATTGAAAAGGGAGAAGGAACTTAATGTCTGATGACAAACCTTGACATTCAGGGCCTGTAAGTCTACTGACTTTCAGAAGTGTGGGATCACTGTCGTGTCTGTACAATAATCTTTTCCATTTTGATGTTCTTCACTGTATTCTCTGTGAAAAAGAGCTGAAAGAAATTCAGCCACATCTGAAAAACTCATCAACCTTTGTCAAAGAGTCTGTTTGCTTATTTTTCACCTAAATGTACCTCTCACCTCGCACAGTTTGTGCTGCTAACAGCATCATTATACAATAATGAGCTTTTGAGTTTTGGTCTTCTAAAGTCCACCTTTCAGAGTATCTTTCTGAAACTTGTCTAGTTGGTACAGTGTTTTTGTCTGCAAAAATGTTGTATTATATATATAATAATACACATGCATATTAGATCATATGGATTGTTATTATTTACCAATATAATAATAATCAGATCTATTACCAGAAGTTAGAAAACTTTTGGTAATATATTCGTTCCCACCTTCCTTTTACCGGATCCAATAGTTTGCTCTTTAAACCTTCAGATCTGTTCCTATCCCTGATGACATATGAATACACATGTAAGGATAGTATAATGGGATAAAAATTGAAATGGCATGCTGTAATTGTAATTGTAATAGCATTGCACAAAAGTTATATTTATCATATTGAAGTTGTTCAGAAAACATGCTTTGTAAGTCCTCTTGTGGCAGGGATTACTCTGAACAGACTCTTCCCATGGTGTGTTCTGAGGTTCTGGCACATCTGAAGGGAGTTTAATGTCCATTACTGCAGCTAAAACGGGGGTGATCTACTGGAGTCGGGTTACAATTCAGGCTCGTCAATTATCTGAGAATTTTTTGCCTTAACTAGGTAAAATTAAGATCCTTGAAGGATTTGCACTCTTTTGAATTTGGGTTGGTCGCCACTGGCTTATTGTTTCACTGTGGATAAGTTATACATATGGAATGTAAATGTTTTTATTGGTTATTTGGCAAGATTTTATTTTGAAGAATGTAGTTATACCCATAATCCCAGGCCCAATTTGAAGCAGAAACCAGATGAGATCTACTCTGTAACCAAGCAAACTAGTCCTGGTTCCTGTGGCTTATCTCTTCTGGTTTTTCAACCAATTCATTTTTTAATTGAACTTCAAATTTGTCAAGTCAGATATGTGTAACTTTTTTATGCTTATGATTTTTATTTTAGATGTGAGGACGTTGTGGGTTTATTGAGTTTGCACAAGACTGGCAGTTCTTTGATAGAGCACATTGCTATGGGTCCTGTCCTGATGGCCCTACAGACTGCCGTGTTATTTTACTCAAATTAACTATATTTTGAATTGAACCAATTAAACTTTTTTGAGGACTTATGCTGTTGTTGATGATGTTGATAAGGTATATAACGTCCAATAACCATTTCAGTTCAATGTTGAGAGGCACCAGAGCTTCTCTTCTGCAGCTCAGGTGATAAAGCGGGTGCGTAGATCCCTTTCTTACTGGGACCAGACAGGCACTGAACTCTGTGCCCTGGTAGAATCAGCACCATGCTCAAACCAGCTGGGACAAATTAATAATGGAGGGGTTAGTGTGACAGGCTCTTGCAGTGTGGACAGTAGACCCAGGCCTGCTCCCCAGGTGTCAGGCCCTGACTCTTAGACAGCAGGTCTGAGCTCCTCTTATTTCCACATCTCTGGCACTGTGAAATACACCTGGGCAGTGGGAAATCTCCATCACAAACCCAGTACCGGCTACTTGCTGATGATTCCAGGTTTGCCAGGGTACGCGGTTCCCTGATGCCTGGCCTGTGCCCTGATGGCTCCTGTCTGCTGTCCGGCAGGGGAGCACCACAGCCTGGTTCATGCAGCAGGTGGTGAGTTTGGGCTGCGAGGGTCTGCTAGTTGAACCACTACAGTCTGCTTTCTGTTGCTCCCTGGTCTGTCTTCGTGACCCTCAACTCAAAGTTTTGGCCCTGGTCACTCGAGCTCCTCTGGACCCAAAGTGAAGCATCACCCTTTGCAGGGGCCATGTCTGCAACCCTGGGGGCACAGAGGTCAGGGGTCACTGGGTAAAACAGTCCTTGGCCATGTGGACAAGTCTTTTCCCAGGCTCTGGATAGGGCTGTGGGATGTGCTCCAGGGGTTCCCTGTTACTGCTGCAGGGAATCCTGTGAGTGGCCACCAGGTCACATCCACAGTTTTAGAATAATAAAGGTCCAAAACACTAATTGATTATTAGTGGCCTTCTGGGTTAAACTTTAGTGGCTTTGAGTTCTGGTTTCTCTGCCAAGGCGAACGTATTCCAATAGGGTTGACTTCAGAATTTTGAATCAAATGTTTTCACAATATGCTGCTGTGTGCACCGCTGGAAAGATTGTTCCTTAGTCTGCATATAACATGACTTTCAGAACTCCATTACCAAGTAAAGCTGCTCCGTACTTACCACAATTAGAATCCTTGATGCAAGACCAGACCAGACCAGACTACCTTTTTCTAATTCCATTTCTTATCTTTTACTGAAGACAAAATAGTTTGCTCCTCAATGATGGTGTCATTACTGATAACCATATGGGTGAAGATGGAAAACGCACACACCAAGACGAGAGAAGTAGCCAAGCTTAACGCCATAAAAATGTTGTCTTCTGTTGCAGTGCCATCTAGTGGCCGATGAGAGGTATATAATTTGTAGAAGCCACAGAAGCATTTTCTTGTCACATCAGATCATCCTCAATAACTGCTTACCCAATTCTGAGTCACAGTGGACCAGTGACTACTCCAGGAAGCCTTGGGGTTAAGACAGGATTCACCCTAGGCAGGACACCAGACCGTAGCAGGCCAGCAACACACTTGCACTAGGTTCAATTTTCCTAGAAACCATTTAACCTACTAGTATCTCTTTGAACTGAGGGAGGAAACTAAAGCACCTAAATTAAGCCTATGTAAACTTGGGGAGAACATACAAACTCCACACAGATAGCAACCCAGGAAATGAACCTAGAGGCCCAGCGCTGTGAGTCAGCAATGCTTACTACTATGCTACCATGTTGCCTGTGTTCTCATATTTCATGTATTAAGCTTCTTATTTAAAGCTGTTCACTCACAAAACAGTGTTATTCCAGTGGAAATTAAGGCCTACCTGTAGGCCCTTTCCCAAGAGGGTTTAGGGTCCAGCATTATGCAAGTGTGTAAAGTGTCCTGCTGGAAGTTTTGTAATAATATTTCTGGACAAATGTTCTGATACAATTATGTCTATGGTGGCATCTGTCATTAGACATGCTGTTTCTCTGTCTTTAACTGACAGTAAACAAATGCTTTTATTAATTCTGTCTTTGGTGCTTGCCACATGTATCCCTTGAAATACCCTAGTTGCACTTCCCCAGTTATGATCAGATTTCAGTGTGCATGTTCCTTCACGCCCCTTGTTTAATAATTTCCAGTTACCCCCATCAGAATACAGGTACTGACTCTCCAACACCAAAACCAACAGAGTTAAGTTCTCATTCATACCTGTAGCCATATCCTTACTTAACTCTTGGCCTTCAATGTGTATATATTCATTCATGTCTTTTTTACACTGTTTGAACAACAACACTCCCCCCCCACCACGGGGATAATAAAGACTCTCTCTCACTCTCGTTCTCCTACAGCAGTATAGACTGCATACTCAGCAGTGTGCAAGCACATATGTAAGATTACCAAATTGTGTTTGTGTAGCATCATTGAAGAAGGAATGTGTTGTTGTTGGAAGGTGACAGAGTGCAACAAGGGTCTTCGTGGAGAGTCACTGAGTCACGTATGCTGACAGGCAGGAGCACTATCCTGTACATTTTAAAAGTATTTTTAACATGATAATAAAACCATTTGAAAAAGTTACAATCAAATCCATCTTGCTCAATTGTGTGGCTTGGCTCTTTTGGTTTCTGAACTTCAATCGTGGCCCTTTTAGAAGGATCTTGGAGAAATCAGCTCACACTCTGCATGTGAAGCCAGGTATCTCATTTTCAGGCTGGGTTAACTTGTTGAGTTTATGACAGCTATGACAATTGAGAATCAACCTCCTCTTCCTGGAGAAGGAAACTACAATTCTCTGCTTAGAGCAGCCTGCCTAGAGTGCTGAATATGGAAAATATATTTATAAGAAAAATCTTCATGGAATTATCAAATGTTTCATGCCTGCCAAGTTATAAATAGGTCGTTAGTCTTTTTCTTACTCCCACTCCATTATTTTATCATCTTTACTTTGGAGTGAATAAATATTTCATCTGATATTCCTACAGTATGTTCTTGAGAAGATGAAGGGCTTTTTTATATTTCTCATGGTGCTATAGCAGTTCGTAGCCTGGTCCCGATTCACTCACTGTCTGAAATCTGTCTTAAGACTGCCAAACGTCTGACCTCAGAGTATTGGAAAATGTCTGAAGTCCAATGACTTTAAACTGGTAGGTTAACTGGCTTCTGAGAAAATTGGCCCTGGTATGAGTGTAGGAGCATTAAAATAGTCAAGTACAAGATGAGCTCGGAAGAAGTGTGGAATCTAGGGCTCAAACCCCAGTAATCAGACACGTTGTGATTGGGATAGGATCCTACAAAACAGCATCTGCAAAATGATGCAGATCTGTAGCTTTATTGTCTTCAGTGTTGGACAAGTGCACTACTAAGCTGTGGCTTTCACAGTGGAGCTTCTGTTGATCTTGTTAGTCTTGTTAGTGATACATTTTAATCAACATCATTAATGTCCCTATGTCTGCTTTACAAGATGCCAGTGCACATGCTACAAAAATGATTTTGCCACTTTCCTGAAAGCTTTTTGAACTTCTTTCCTTCAGAAAAATGACAATCATGTCTTGAGTGATTAATTCCATCTGAAGATGTAAAGATTTATTTTCAGGAAAATTCAGTACTTCACACTTGTGTCTGCAAATGTAAGCTGCAATGGCCACTTGTTGCATGTATTTATACAAAAAATCCCAGAGGGCATTATTTATGGAAAAAGACAGGAGCCATAAATGGATTAATAAATCAAAGAGTGAGTTCTCAATACCTTAACTGACTCAGCAGGTTTAAATACAGCCTTTTAATTAAATTAGGAAACATGAGAGGAGGTGGCCCATCATGCATCAAAAAACTCACCACAATTACTAGCCCTTTCAGGATTTAATTAATAAAGACTGCTGCCTTATAAGCCCCCCATTGCAATTTAAAGAACAGTGATAAGCTGTTAAGGCTTTATTGTATGTAGGGATTTTAAGTTGACATTTCATACTTTACTAACAGACATCTTTATTTCTTTGAATCAAAAAAGCTCACTGCTGTAGATGTTCAGTCACTAAGAAACTACAAGACAAGTCTTGCTGGGCTTCTGAAGTCATTAAGCTCCCTCCTAGCAATTAGGTGAGTTAATTTGGACAAACAGCCTCCATCTGTACCCCATTACAGATCTTGATTAAAAGTCCTGCTCTCTTTCACAAGGAATTCACAAATATCTCTGCAAACCGCTTCAAGGGTGAAGTCTGGAGATGATTGAAAGAAGCTATAAACATATCTTTCTTTGTACTTCTGACCTGCAAGGGTTACATTTCAATACCATAGATACTGTACACCCCCCCCTTAAAAAGAATAAAAGAAGAGGGGAAAATACATATATAACCAGTGTCTTTTATAACTTAGGAGCAAACCGCTCACCAGTACCATTTCCAAACCAGACCCGCAGAATGAGAACAAAGGGATTCTGTTACTTTCAGTTGGTTCCCACACCGAGGGTATGAAAATCACCAGTTCAGTTTGTGCAACAGCATACAACACTCTGTTAGGGGCCCATCCAAAATGGGAGTAGAAATGTGGCCTGCCAGAAACAGATTCCTGATTCTTCACCTTTGGGTAGTGTCTTAGGTTAAGCCTGGAGCATGCTGGGGTTCTACTGTCGTTCATAATGAAAATTTGAGAAAAGGCAACAAAGAGCACAGACAGCTGATCACATTTCAATAATTTATTTAAACAATGTCCTGTCCCCCCTGTACGATTTCTTACAGGGTGTGTGACACTTCTCCTTGAAACAGAAACCTGGGGTTGGGGGGATTAGGGGAGCAGAGGATAGAGTCTTTGCAGTTGCTCCTCCGTCTCCAATCAATAGTAATTATAATAATAATAGTAACTATATGGACATCAACTGTCAGAAGAACATCAACAGCAGTAATAAATTAAAAAATAAAAAAACACAAACAAAAAATATCTCTTTTAAAAGTTTTTTTAAAACAGAATGTAGTTCAAATGTAAATGTAAGGTTTTTTTTTAATTATTATTATGTTTCTGAAAGAGTAAACAAACCTAGGAGTCTCTCAGATTCTCTTACCCACTCCCACCTGGATGCTGAATAGTAAACCCACTGAGATCTGATTGGCTGTTTGATCACATGACACATGCAGGAAAGAATCGGTAGCTATGGTGATCTTCATGGCAGCACCCCCAGTACAACCCTGTGACTTTCTTTCTCCCAGACCCTCCCCTCTTGTCCCAGGACAGATGGACATCTACAACCCTGTCAGAAGAACTTAGTCCTCACCTGAGCAGGTTAAATTTCACTTGTTGTCACTGATGTCGGGGAAGGGATTCCTTTCCTATTACCTAGATCTGAGGGATCTACTCTTCTGCTGACATTTGCTCTACTTTTAAGAGTGTAGTTTTGGAAATTAGAAAATAAATTATATATATATTATTGAATGCATCTAAGACAAAGCCCTGCCATATTAGAGTAAGCACTCCCAAACATGGTGTACTTGTCCAGTTCTACCCATAACCTATCCCACAACTGATGTAAAAACCCAGCCTTTTACACAACCGTCTGCATCAGGCCCTGCGTGATGCACAGGATGAAAGGGTAGCCAGACATGGCATTGTTTTGTGCATGTTTCATTTTGAACTCACTGTACAGTATATTTCTTCTCTAATCTGCTTGTTTTTAAATAGCAGGTCATACAGTATGTACATGGTACAATATCTCACAGCAGTGTCTTACCAGACAGTGATCAGAATTAAAATCTGTGTGATGATTTTAAGTCTGCGCAGTCTTTCTACCTCCGAGGCCACAGTTATCCGCCCGAAAGGTCAAACCCTGGCCCGTATAAACCTCAACGGGAGTCAGTCTCATTCCTCTAGGGCACAACCTTTTGTCTGAAATACAAACTGCCTCTATTCATATAAAAACAACTTGCTCTGTCAGGACTATGTCCATTGCAATTTTCATTATTCTATTTAGATTTCTATTTTACATGTTTGTTTTGTACACGTGGCTGTATATACATGTTGGTCCTGCCAGTTTCAGTGGTCAAAGATGTGGGATGACTGAGAGATTCCTTCTACCATTGACTGCAGCACCAGCTTACTCAAGAGGTTCAGAACCAGGAGAAAACATGACAATGGTAGCTTTCCTTTCCTCATTCATCTATTACTCTATTACCCTGCCTCACACTCACACACACAGGTCCTGGAGATGATAAAGATGGAAATGAAGGCAGCACAAATCTTCCTCCTCCTGATGATTTTCACACCATCATGCTTCAGAAGGGTGTCCCAAGAGAGATGGGGAACCTTTCTGTTAATAATTCACACTTAATAGAAGACTTCACCTTTTCTAAAGCAACCACACAGTGCCCCACCTCCACCCAAAAAAGTCAATTATAAATCCTTAATATTGCAAGAGTTGTGCAAATAAGTAAAACCCATAAGATGGGGATTCAATTAAAACAGATGTAAGACATTCGAGTAGGAAGTTGTGTCAGCATGCATGGGCTGCATAAGGAACCATTGAAGATTCATTCCATGCTGAAAGTAAGAAAAGAAATACAACGTTTTGACTTGATCAACTTAAAAAGGTTCTACAGCTGAATCATTGGGTTTTTTTTTATCTTCCAGCATGGAATGAATCTTTATCTGCTCCCTGAAACAGATTTAGCTTTCCATGTTCAGCCAATTCATGTTGGGTGAAAGCAGTTCTAACCTTGAGAAGGACTATGCCTCTTTGGTTTGTCTTGAAAGTCTGTGAAGGAATATATATTCCTGACTGGTCTTTGCAACTGAGATGTCCTTGAGAGGCTTCTGTAGAAAGCAGCCATTTTGACTGAGCCACTCTTATTTTGGAGATGAGCCAAAATGTTTGCCTTCTACAGAAGCCTACCAGGGACACCTCAGGTGCAAAGACTAGTCAGAAATATAGATTGCCTCACAAAGGCATTTTAAATTGATGTGGACCTGTAAATTAGATCTTGCTGTTCTGGAAGTGGGAACTATTGGCACATCACCATTACCTAGTCCCCTAACACAACATTCGCTGGCTCTCTGGCATTCATTTAAGTGTGTCTTGAATCACTTTGGTTTTATGAACTTATTATAACTGTAATGTGAGATCTGCAATTTCCAATGTTTAAGCATAAAAGAGGCTGTTACGTTTCCTAATGAGTGTAACGCATCACACACTCAAGAACAAGGGTTTACCCCAGCATTAACACACTGAAGCGATATAGCTTTGCACTTGCTCTTACAAGATCCTCTGCAGATATTGTTAAAACTTTCCGTCTGATATTTGGGAATATGGGCAAGGTTAAATAAAGGCTGTTCCTTTTTCTAAAGCCTGTTGTAAACATTACTATGGTGCATGCTTTATGAATCATAGCACCCAAGAAGCACTCACACACAGACAATAGACATAATGCCCCAGCACAAAGTTACTGGCACTCCAACACACATGCTACTGTATAAAGAAGGCTTCAATTCACACTCACAGACACACTTCAGTAACAATCTGAATAGTAAAACAAACCATCAATAAGAAGACTGAAATAAAACAATCTAAAAACATTTTAGCAGCGAAATTGCAGTGGCATGTGGCCTAATGGAGCAAAGGGATATTTTTGTCCTTGGGTCTTTTTTCTACTGAAACTGCCTTCCTTTAACTCACACAGCACAGACAATTATTATGTAAAACAGATCCCAAATTTGCATTTATGCATGTATCAGGATATTTCAAATAGTCTGATGCTTTTACTAACATCTGTTTCTCTATTACCACAGTCTGCCACAGTTAACGCTGGCAAAGTCTCTCACAGGCTGGTAGGGATCACTTTCACCGATGGACAGTTTGTCCACAGACAAACCCCTTAGAGCCTTGCAATGAAAAATTAGATTACTGGAAAGTGTTCTGAACTAACCCACTGTCTGAATTTGTTTTCCGGTTGGTACGAATACCATCTGTGCTTTGTTCTGAATGAATGTGTTAAAACTGCAAAGAGGCCAACACACATATATATGCACAGAAATATGCCACACTGTCTCTATCACTGCTCCAAGAGGCATTCACAAAAGCAACTAAAATATATTTCTAAATGCATTACATAACATGACTAAAAAAGACTAATGGAAGCCATATTAAGCCAAAGCAGACAATAAACAGAAGACCTCAAAATAATAGCAATCAACAAATATCAAACACTGTTACAGTACATGCAGCCCACACACATACTCACAGTGATGCCCTCACACAGCCAAACACACAGATAGATGAACCGAGACACTGACCGAGGTGAATGAAGGGCAAGATCTCTCATTGGCATTTGAAAATCTTTCACCACCATGCTGCTTTTCAGCATGTTACATTTTTCCTAACAAGAAAAAAATCCTAAGAAGCTACACAAAATACTTAGGATGCTAAGTTAAGAATCATTGTCAGCAGTGTTTCTTTTTTGGTTCTCCACTTTCTAAAAGGTGTGGCACATGACACATGGAGGAAAATGCTCAATACTTAGTTTAGGACCTGCTGTGGCTTCAGAGAATGAGTTTAGTTTCCCCTCTGTCACCTCAGCTGCAGAGTCAGAACCATCTTATCCTATAGCAGCAGTGCAGTGACAGGACCATCCCAGGCCAGGCCAGGCCAGCCTTTCCACTGTCCACCAAGTATTAGGATTAGGAGTGATGGTGGCAAATCAAACAAAGTCACAAATCTGCTTTATAAAAGCAACAAGACACAAAAGGCAACATGCTGTGTGCTGCCAGGACTTGCTGCTTTTGTCTAGTAGGAAAAGAGGCCTGTGGTTAATCCAGAAGTGACAATGGTACGGCCCATTCCCTCTGGCATGTTACGAGTGCTGACCCAGAGCTCTGGCTGGCACACTAAGATTGTGCACACATTCTCTAGAACGGAAGGGCCTCCTTGGTAATACATGAAAAATGTCTTCCAAAAAGCTGTTCTGTAACCCCAAGGATTGTGGGGGCATGGAATAAATTACACAGCCATAGTGGTGAAGCTGATAACCTGGATACCTTTTCAACAAAACAGATGGATGAAGTTCTTGGATTAATTAGCATCTAACTACAGTACCTAATGGGCTAGATGGGCCAAATGGCTCATTTGTAACAGTTCTTAAGTTAAATGTGCCTAAGGTCTAATTTACATATGTAGCCTCCTGTCCCTTCTAAAACTCTTGCCCCCTTGCAGGATGTTAAGCATCCTCTCAAGAGCCAGGAGGACCTCTTGAGCCTCTGCCACACAGACGGTGCAGTCCTGGATGCTGTCTCTATGAGGTCACTTCATGTGCCTAATCTGTCTGTATCTGGAGATAATTTCACATTATTTCTAAGTGGCAAATGAATTTGAAAACCAATTCAGAGCTCACAGTGACTTAATTGCACCCTCAATTGATCAAATAATTGCTCTATACATATATATGCCTCTTAAATTGCTTGCATCAATTTAAGTATACACATACATGAGCAACTTGAAACCTACAGCTTAAGGAGAGTTGATAGCAATATAAAAATTCTAGTTAAGCACATTACTAGTTCAATTAAGGATGTAATGAATTACACAAACTCCTCATCATACAAACATTTAATTAATGAGTTTTCACTTCAATGTTTTTGAAAATGGAATAGCCCATTTTCCCATATGAGTAATTGGTTTTTGCTGCAAAGATAGCTGTGTTTATGTGGACAGCCCTGCACTTGCAGTCACCATCTTTGTACTATATTGTTTGTTGTTTATCTTGTAATCCATCTAGATTTTCAAACTTGTCAACATCACTAGCGCTACAGGCTAGAAGACTAGTCTGCCTACAAATCTGGACAGAAAACTAGACAGCACACAGCCTCCATCTTGTTGGCTAAAATAGTGCCATTTCATTTTCTGTTTTCATTTGTGTTCCCTTACACTGTTTGTTTTCTTTAGTACTGTCTATTCCAGATTAATTGCTGTTTCTTATACAAAATGAATATAGTATATATATTTGTAATATTTATTACATTTCCTTTCGATAGTTTATAAATATTTATATAATCTCTAATTGTTGCTTTTAAATTAATGGGACATTTCATACTTGCTTAACTTTTTGCTTATATTACTGATTTCCATGCAATGCAAACCTTTTTGTAAAATGAGGAGTTAGTGCAATTGAGCCCTCACTTGGAATGGAGATGTGAATTGATTGGGTACTACTGGGGTACAGAGGACTGTTCACTCCCTGTGGCCCCAGTTTGCCAGTGATGGACACAGAGGGGATCACAGGACCTCCGCTGTCAGGCACCCCAGTCACGACTCCCAGCTCCTGAGCAGTGTGGACCTCAAAGCCGAACACCAGGTCTTCCATTAAACAGTGCTGCAGGAGTTTGGCACAACCAGCTCTTTAATCATTTCATTGTTTAATAGTCAATTCTATTATGTAACAAAGTAGCGACTCTCTCATATAATTATGTTATTGTTCCAAATGATTGCAAATGTGTCAGAAAAGCCACTATTCACCAACTGTCAAATGCTTATCATCAGTCATGCCAATAAAGTTCTATGAACTTGAATTTGAGTTAGCTGGTACGTCCAAAAATATTACTGAAATACGTTGGCAGGGCTGGTATTTGATTATCCCTACTGTTCTCTAACCAGAGGGAGCCGCAAGTCACTGGGAATATTTAGAATAATTAGAAATTCAATTTGAGTTTGTTTTTGGAGTCTGAAGGAGTTATTTGTTGGTAAACTCATGTGGCACACATGTGTCTGCATGTAACAGTCAAGTTCCTGGAGGGAGGCTGGGCTTGTGCTCTGTTCTCTTCTACAAGGGCTAGAAGGCAGACAGATCTCAGCAACAATCTCTGAAGTACAACGCAGCATTGTTAATAAGCACTGTGATGGAAGCGGTGCAGAAGACAGAGCTCAGGTGTGTGTTACCCTTCATAGCAGGCCACAGCCCAGTGTGAGGACAAAATAATGTAAAATATACTTATATACAGAGCCCCGTCACAAAAATTCTGCTGCACATGGTTAACTTTATGCACAATGTGTTCACGCACAAGGAATGATTATGATGCACAAGGCCAAGCTTACAGATATGAACGTTTCAATCTTCTGTCTTGGCAGAATGAACCAGCATCTGCAATCCCTGCCTACTCAGGTTAACATTACAGGGCTATGTACATATGTATACTAGTATATATAATATTTATATAGTACTTATACATACACATACTGTATATAAGCATCCTCTCACAGTGTCTGGAGGGTACCATAAGCTCTTTAGGTAACGATGAAGAGGCTAGATGGTGTATACACCCAGTCCATTTGGCAGGCCCTGATACAGCCTCACAGGCAGTGTAGAAGTATGGCAACTGGCAAAGACACTGACTCTATGATCTTGGTTCTGACCCAGACTGAAGTGGAGAACCTGGGCTGGAGGAAGCATCATCAGTGCCTGTCTGCAGGAGCTGTTTGCAGCTGGATAGTCTGTTAGCAACATTGCAAGCTCCTCTCATTCTCTGTTAATGTTAGTGCTTGTACTTGTGTCCAGTTCTGTCTGGGTGTGTCCAGTTCTCTGTGTTTGTGTGTCTGTCAGTGTCTCCAATATGTGTCTGTCTGTGTGTGTCAGTATCTACACGGGAATGACCCAGTATGTCCGTGCTGATATGTGTTGTACGGGACCCTGTATTCCAATGTCATTGTGTGTCTCTCTATCTGCATATCCACATACTGTAAGGACCCTGTCTCTCTGTGTGAGTGTGAGTGTGAGTGTGAGTGTTGCGTGGAGCAGTCCTCTCCTCCAGCTATAGCACCCCTTCCATGAGGCTGGTGTCGAGCCCCTGGATGAGAATGCGGATGAAGGACATCTCCTTGCGTGTGTTCTCGAAAATGATGCGCGGGTCATCGGACTGGCAGCGCAGGCAGTTGGGCGCCATCACCATGGCCAGGTTGTTCACGTCCATCTTGGTGACAGACACATTGGCAGGCTGAGCAAACACCTGCAGTAACAACAGCAAATGTTATGGCCCTGGGGGGCATGTTGGCACAGAGCAGAGATCACAGGTGAGCAGTTCAAATGAGGAGCCTCACTCTCTTCTAGGGTGGACTTTGTGCTAGGACAGTTGTCTTCCCACCTAGGACAATTACCCATTTAAAATGACATAAAAATGACAGCTATCTTTTATCTAACAGATTTTTCCAGTATAGGGTCTCATGGGAGCCAGAGCCTATCCAGTCAAAGGAATCTGAGAGATAGGGTACACCTGGATGGGACACCAATCCATTAGCAGACAGACACAAATACCAGAGGCAATTTTCCCAGAAATCAATTAACCTACCAGTATATTTTTTGGACTGAGAGGCAACCCTGAGAACATGGGGAGAACATACAAACTTCATGCAGATAGTGCCACAGGAATTGAACTCAGGGCCCCAGTACTGTGAGGTAGCAATGTAACAACTGTGTGCCAAGAAAATTACAGATTTTTAACATTTCTGCTAATCAGAAAAACGTGTTTGTTGTTTAACTTTGGCAGTTCTATAATGGATCAATCATGACCATAGAGCCCCTTGAATTGAAGTGGATTGGCTGGCTAATGGTTTATTCACATAAAATGCAATTAAAACAATTCAGTTGATAAAATAAATGAGTGCAAATCAGGCTAGTAATAGTGATAGGCTTGCAAGCCTCAATGCAGCCTTAATGTATTTGAAAATTTTCTTTCAAGAGTTTGCATGGGAGAAGGGAGGAAGAGAGTGAGGAGGATCCAAGGGAGGAGAAAAGAGAGGAGACTGGATGGCGTGAGGGACAGGGAGGAGGAGGGAGACAAGCAGGAGACTGACCTGCAGGAAGCGGATGAGGTAGCACAGCACCAGTTTGTTGATGTTTGGCAGTGTGTGCACCACACGCACAGCGGCTTCAGGGTTGTCGTAGTTAGTGATGCACTCCTCGTAATACTCATGAGGGATCAAGGGCTCCTCCAGCTCCCGGTACCACAGCTTCAACAGGGATGCTGAGGGGGCAGAGACACCATATTGTTATTAGACTTGAGTAAATAGCCTATGAGCTGCACAGAATCATACTTCACTTCCTGTAGGTGGGTGGGAGGAGCTAGGTCTGTCTGTGGCAGTTTATAGCATTAACAGGACAGTTTCTTGCTAGTACATGAAATTGCACTAATTCTAAGAGCTGCTCTTTCACTGCCTCACATCCTTGAAGGATGACTTAGGAACAACCTTGACTCCACCTATTTTTAAAGAAGAGTTACTGTATAGCAGGCAGTTTAGCCTTCACACTCCACAGCACTGTCACATTGTACCGTAACAGACTGGAAGAAAGTGGGAAATTGTATTTCTGTGTAACTCTGATCACAATGCAGGTCAGTGCCAGTCGGAAGGTCTGCACTTAACCTGGATTCAATACTTTCTGGGTCCTAATGGCATCTCTTTCTCCACACGCAGCAATTTGTCAAGCTGTATCTCCGTCGACCTTTAGGCAGCAGCCAGCCAAACTGGAAAGAGCTGTGATTTATTTCTGCATGCTCGCGACAGCAATGAACAAAAATAGAGCCTCCAAACCAACCCAGCACTATTTATTACCCTGACACCACAGCTGAAACATAAAAGGGGAGTCTTTCGTACCCAAATACTGAGTGAGATACAGACACATCTAAAACAATTCTGTGAGCCTGCAGATTCTACACAATTCGGCACTGAAAGCTCAGGAGTTTTGTGAGCTCACAGAAATTTAGCTCTCCTGCACAGATCTCACCTGATCTGCTCAGATCACCTCTGCCTGTTCAGTACTGGAATAGGAGAAATGAAATAAAAATCAGGTTGCTTTAGTAAGGGATGTGCTTTGCATAGACCTGTAGGGGTCACTATCTCTCTTGCCTTTGACTCAGAAACTAAGCTGGGGTGGTCTAAGCAGCAGCAGTGCCCCTGACTAGTTCTATAGGAGGTGCTGTTTCTTGACTAAAACATTAATGTTCCCTTTTTCATTACACAAGATCCCTCAGCAGTTTTCACAAGAATGAAAAGGGGTGTTAAACCCTATTATATCAGCAGTTGATGTGAAAATAGGTTATAAAATGTGACCATTTTGCTAGCTAATTCCACCCCAAATCCCCTAAAGTGTTTCCACACACTGGCTATATAGATGGTTGTTAAAGCCACTGTACTGCATACTTGGTCCTCTTTTTTGCTTTCATTTTCAGATGAGCTACTAGATATTTTAACAAATGGTGAACCAAAAAGGTTTTCTATCACTTATCTTGAAAATATGATCTAACTGCAGGTGCTTTTGTTGTCTAACTATGTTCCAGTTCACCTGGTTTAAGTAATTTATGTTTAACTTAATCTTAAAGACAGAATATTTTTCAAAAGTGGCACTACACAAAGACTTATGTAAAAAGGGCAGTTTGGACAAAGGAAGTCCAGTTAGGTACTGTAGTGAAATAGTCCATTCTCCGTGAGTGCCCATATCATGTTGTACAACTACATCAAACACAATGCACCCTTCTGTGTCCTTTCTACCAGACCCAAGCCAGTAAAAACAGAATGCATATGGTACCCAACACTCATTGTGCAATTCTGATAAACCCTAAGGAAATCTGTTGCTGCATTTTATAAATAATTTGCTATGACTGTGTGAGGATTGTGTCAGGGCTCTGTGTGTCTGATGCCAGTCTAAATATCATGACCCCTCCACAGGTGTCATGTTGCAAACCAATAATCATCCAAACTGATTAATGCCCTCCCAGTGCAGGTCCACAGCTTTCGGATGGACTGTGAAGATGCCTGACGTGTGTGAGGTAGTGAAGCCTGGAGCCTGTACTAAGTGTTTCTATTTTTACACTTTTATTCTGAAAAAATTAGAGCAGCTCATGCTTCCTGAAGGAGCTAAAAGAAACTCCGTTTTCTCTTATAGCCCACCCGCTGTAAGAGTTAGTGAAGAAAATTAAGGAAGTGGCCTGGAACTCAATCTGAAAGTCTCCTCTCTCCAGAGTGTCTCTTGTGTTCTGGACCGCCTGCTGTGTGAAGGTGGGGTTTTATTTGTTTTTCCTTCAGGGCACAATGAAATTTTCTGAAAATTATTGGTAACATGGAAAGGCAACAATATGCACATGATAGCTCATCACATGTTTTCTATTCGTGTCTCACTAACTGAAAACAAGAGGGAAATATATTAGAAAGGCCCCACTGTGGATCTGGTAGTTGTCTTGTAAATGCCAGGGTTGAATTTTTGCTCCAATCTGTCACTGGCAGTGTTAAACTGTAGTTAAAATTAATGAAGCTGTGAGCCTTTTTATGCATGCATGCCATACACTTTCACAGTGCCTCACCTCAAGTGTGTTGCCAGGTCTAGTTTTTATGAGCTATGTGGAGTGTCTGGTCAGAGGTAGAAACCAGATGTCAAATATCTTATAGGAAGTAATTAACACAACTTGCAGTTGTTAAAATTTTCTTTTAAACCTCACATATTTTCTAAATAAAAGTTAATGAATCTCGGTAACAAAATACATTTATTGACAGTATAGAAAAAAGTACAAATTTTGAATTAAGCACAAAATTGTGAACTTTGTGAAAGTACTGGTAGTAGCCATGTTGTTGCAAACTTGCAATCAAGTGTTCACAAATTGTGCATAATGTGGCTCTTTCTGCTCACTAGTCACCGTAATGACTGATGTAATGCGATAAATACAGACTGTGCAGCAGATACTTCACTGCAGAAATGTTCCAACGTGATCTGCATGCAAAGTTAATGAGTAAGACGTATTTGTCATCTCAAAATCGAAAGCAATATTTTTATTGGATTAAAAGATATGTATTCACAAGCGTGCTTGTTTACAATGTTATAGAGACGAAACACATCATCGGAAGTTTTGTTGCCTTATTCTGAATCTCAGAACATAGCGCTGTGCTGGAAATGTAGTTTATTTTGTGATGTAAAGTGGAGGTTTACTGTGTTACAAGTTACTGTGTAAATTTTACTGTTATTGCAGTTTGAAATGCACTCATAAATTGCTGATTCTTACTATCCCCAAAATATACTGTAAATGCATTGCAGTTCTACTTTAACACAAACTACCCAGCTATGTGGTTGAAAACAAATCCCGTTGTATTTCAGGAAACAACTGGATGACATCTGTAGATCAATTAATTACTAACCACCAAACTGGATAGAAAGGCCTAATGACTTCATGTTTGTAATTGTTCTCCTCTTCTGACAAAGTGGACCATAACCCTCTGAACAGAGAACATCAGAGTCAGACTGACAGCACTCCTGCATATTAAAGATGTTATAATCCTGCTAATCTCATTTCAAGTGCAGCAACCACTTCCTATTTAATTTCTTAAGCAAAGACATTTCATTTACAAAGAAGGAAATCTGACGTTCAGTTAATTTCCATCTTCATACAGAGGTCAACGCTTGTTCATAAGGAGCCAGTGGGATGTGCAAGTTAGTGTGATTTTGTGTCAAGCGCTACTTTAATATTAAAAGACCACCAGCAGCAAATTGTTTGCTTCACACTTATTTACTTCTTAGCTGAAAGCAGCACCACAGCCTTCTGGCTACAACCAGAGAATAAAACAGGAACACTCAGCGAGCTACACAACAGGAGTGACAGAGCAAGACTAAGGCAAATTTACTTACCTGCATGGAAATTTAAATGTTAGCAGTGATTTTCTACTAGTCTATTTTGTTTGAACACAAAATTGTCTGAGTGGAAATTCGGAAATAGAACCGGAAGTTTTGATTTCTCTGATAGCCAGTGCTGCGTACCAGTGGAGAAGAGGGTGTCTTACCTGGGATGTGGGGGTCCTCCAGCCCAGTGGGCACCTTCCACTGGTCCACCTGTAGTTTCAGTGCATTGACTTCATCAATGTCACCTGGCACCCTGCAATGACCGCACACTGTCAACACACCTGATGCACACACTCACGATATCAACAGAAACTGTGTTCTGTCTGCAACCCCCAGGAAAGCCTGAAAAATCTCCTTTTTCCAAAACTCTCCCCTCAGCCCCCAGCCCCCATAGAAACTGCCTCTCAGCCCCGAACTGTCCCAATCTTCCCTTTTTCTCTCAGTCACCCATCTTTTTCAGCATCACCCCACTCAACACAAACTGCCCGTCTCCACACTGTCCCTCTATCCTTTTCTTCCTCGGCCCTTCTTCTCTCTCAGTACATCTCTTCCCTTCCCCCTGGGAATTGTCCTTGGTATTCCTGCTTCCCAAAGTGCATGAACCTGAATTGCCTTACTTCCCTTTCTCTCTCACAATGACAGCCTTCACTCTTGATAGAGGCTCCCCCCATTGTGTACCCAGTGCTCCTTATGATGACCCCCTCAGTAATAACCCTATTCCACATTATGAGCCCTCTCCCAATCTTATTGCTTCAAGGGAATGATTATTTGAATATTTCCTCAGTATTGCCCCACTCTGCAATAGTACCCCACTGTACCTGAAGATGCCCTCGGTCTGGTCCCCGTTGAGCCCCAGCACCTCCTCTGAGAGCCGCGTCTGCACCCAGGGTAGCTGTCTCTCGGGGTACCTGTCCTTCTGCAATGCCATCACTTCCTCCAGCGAGCTGCCGAACATCGAGGGGCTGAAGATAGCGTTCCGCGCATGCTTGATTTCCTCTAGGTTGGGTTTCTGCAAACCCTGGATAGGACACAGATAAACACATAAGAACTTCAGAAGGGCTTCAAGTGTACTGACCCCAATCCTCTTTATCTGAGTTTTCAGTTGCACTCAGCCCAATCCTCTATATCTGAGTTCTCACGTTTACCAGTTGCACCCAAGATTTTCCTGAAGGATGTTCAGAAACTGAACTGTTCCAGTTCTGCACATCCAGCATTAAAAAGATATTTGTAATCTACGATTAGTAACAAAAACAAGCATGAGAAAGCGCAGCAATAAATTCAAGTAAGAGAACTGAAGGAGATAGCCAACATAAGCAGTGTTTATTAATTCCTGCCCAGTCGCAAATAAGAATTTATTACAGTACAAATATGAAACTGTGTATTACTATATAGTCATATACTGTATCTGTATTACTGATAGCCTATGCTATCAGTTCCCACGAAGTGGCATTAGTAACCTATCCAAGAGTTGCAGCACAGTGTTTTAAAAGATCTGTAATAATTGCTTCCTGCTTTCACAGTTAATACACTGATTTTGGTTCTATAACCATGGTTATAATTGTGACATTGACATGATCATATTCCTATATACAGTAGCAAAGAGAGACAGAATAGTCAGCCACATGTTCCGACTGCTGTCATTTAATTGAGCAGAGGCTGCTTAATCTGACAATTCCCCAGATTACAAAAGAAAAAGCTTTTATAGCGCTGCTCTACTGCACCTCCAATGAGCCAGGTTTCTGATCCTGTCAGCACCAAATTATTTATTTTCAAAGGTGTATTGTTATAGATTTCATATAAAACACTGTCTTTGGAGATACTGCAGAATTGAATTTTTCTAGTTGCTAAAAGATGTATAACATTTAAATGAAGTCATGAAGACTCCATTACCTACTGCATCTCAGTGGATACATTCAATGCCAGCAATGTCCCTTGAAAAGAAAACCAAAAACTTTAGAGTCAGTCCACATCTAACCTGGTTACGATGTCTTTACTGTTGTGATGATGTTCTCTTAATATCTAAAACACAGGCACCTGGTGTTGAAATTTACATTGTTTAATAATTCTTTTGTTTGTGTCTCTTCCTCCTATGGAAAGCCAATGTAAATCGAAGCTTTGTTATTCTACTGGAAAAGCAAGTAAAAAGATTTTTAAAATTTTAATGGGAGTATTAGTATGTACTATACAATGTGCAACAAGGGTTTTAAAATAAATTATTAGTCGAGAGCTGGATCAGTTTAGACCACATGTAGACGTGAGAGCTGCAGATGACTAACTTTGCTCTATTAACACAGGAGTCCCAGTAGTCCAGTTAGGTAGGTAGTCAGAGGGTTAAAGATCTCCAGAGTGTCTAGATACACTTTAAAGAAACACACAGGACACTGGATTGGGCACTGAGCCCAGTACGTCTGGCAGAGGACTGAAGAGGGATAAATGATTCTCCCTGACAGTCCCAGCTCCTGTGAAAGGAGGTCAGCTCTCGGCGCAGAGAACATGGCGAGCGACAAACAGCCCTAATTACTGATGCTGTGTCCTGCTGCTGGCTTGCTGGGCTCCTGGCAGGACTGCGCTGGAAATAGAAGCAGGTTCTGATGCTGTGTGAACAGAGCTGGAGGCAGAGGCTGCCGCTCCACAAGTCTGTCACACTCACCTCCCCACTCATACCAACTCTTAGTTATGTGCTCACCCTCTCACTTCTTCACAAACTCACTCAGCCACTCACAGCGCCCTCTTCAGTTATAAACTCTGTCACTGACACAACTCCGCACACTGGATTTGTGAAGATGTGCTGTGTCTTTCCTTATTCTGCAGGCAGACTGTAGGCTATTGAGGGCACAAATGAGGTGCAATATCTCTGCCCTGCAATATCTATGATCTGCCAGTTCTGCAAGACATTTTAAAGAAATGTTCGATATAGACACTTTTGCATTTTGGGCAACCCTACCCTCATAATTCTACCACCTCACCACCCCACAACTACCGTCATGAAGTGCATGAGCGAAATGAACTATGAAACCAATGTGACATATGTAATACAATGGAAAAGCAGATATAAGAAGTTTAATCTTCCTTCTAGTGTCAGTTGAAGTAGGAATCTGAACATTGAGGATTATTCCAGCCACTATTCCTTACTGCTTGGTTGGCTTCATCACTTGTCTTTACGCAGCAAAATTCTAGATTAACAGTATCCTTAATGAAGGACAGTGATCTAGGCTGGTAACAGGGTTAGAAGGAACTGTCTGGAACTTTATTCACTAACACCTCTTCCAGCAGCAGCTGGAAGGTCTCCCAGGAGGTCCCCATCCAGGTACTGACCAGGCTCACACCTGCTTAGCTTCAGTGGGCTGCCAGTTGTGAGTTGCAGGGTGATATGGCTGCTGACATTAGCGGTGTGTATTGAAATTGTCTATTTAAACTATCAAGACAGAGTGAGGCAAACAGGTAAGAGAACCACCAGATTGTAGTTTGTACACAGAAACTGTAAAGGTTTAAATCAAAAGTTTGCAAAGGAAAGCCATTTATATAGGAATGTAAGCTGAAGACAAGAAGTGGAGGAAAATAGAACAAGAAAGATATGTTCAATAGAGATAAAGGTATTGAGCTTGAAGCACAGGACACATCAACAAGTATCCAAACCAAGGCAGTGAATATGAGGAGAAAGAAATTACTTCAAAAGCACTCAAAAAGAGCAAGATTCAATTAAGGAAAAAGCGTATTATGAGCTACAAGTACAGGTTTAGACATTTCTGGAGTACTACAGGGATCTGTATGAGGATGACTGAACACATGCGAATATAAAGATGCACTAGCAGCTAATATTCAATATTTAGAATATTGTGCATAGTTTTGTTTCAGTTACAAAAAATAATAATTCCGCACTGGAGGCAATGCAGAGAAGTGTGACCAGATACAAGGTTTAAGGGAACGTCCTATGCTGACAGAATGAAAGCAACTCAACTTTTTAAAAAGTTAATTCAGTGGACCTTGAATCAACAGTGAAACATGAACCAGGGGACACAAGAAAACCCTGCAGAAGAATTTAAATCTCAGAACAGGTATTAAACAAGTTATCCAAAGCTGAATATCCTGGCTTCCTTTCTTAAACAGCTGGATACGTTCCTTTGTTCAGTAACATACAGAAAAAACAAACAAGCTGCATAGGTCAAATGACCACCTCTTCTCTATAGCAGTTTCTATGTTATAGTGAGGATGATAGAGAGAGCAGAATATAGAGTAGGCGGGTGAATGAGCTCATTCTTTCAGGCTAGATTATCTCAGATAATCTCCATATATACTGTACATCCAATCCAGTTTACACCTTCCTCATCTCAGGACTCTCCCTGTCTGAAGCAACACCACTGCACTGCACTCAAGCACTCAAAGAACAAGTAAACTTGATCTAGTCTTCAGCCCCTTCAGGAAATGAATAAAGTACTATGGTACAGCTCAGCAGGATATCTGCTCTGGTCAAATCACAAGAGATCAGTGGACTATAGGCCTGATCACTATGGGATGATGATACCTCTTAGGAAAATCAGGATGCTGCAGGGAATTATGCAGTACTGGTGAACCAGTAGGTGGCTCCCTGGTGACAGTCAACCAGTCTGAACCACAGTTTCCAAGCCAGAAAGTGCAGTCTTCAGTAAGTGCCACCTCTACACCTGAGAAATTTTACTGATATCCTGTCTGCACTGTTGACACTCAGATCCCACAGATTTTTTCAGAAAAAAAATTATAGAGGCCAAATCCACAGCATTTTACATTTTACATTACATTGGAGGATTTATGTTTTCTGACTCATTTTCACGCTGAGTTATTCAGTCAGTGATCTTATTCTGAATAGGTAAAAAGATTCTGTAGAGCACTCCAGAATTTGTTGCTTTATGTCACTCAGTATGGACTGTCTGCAGCCCTGCCTTCAGTGGTCTCTGGCTTTCCCTACATACCAGGGTGCCTAGCAGTGTTAGAATTATTCTAACACTTTATCTGCTTCCCAAAAGCTGTCCCCATAGCCTGAAAAACAATTAACAGCACCAAGGAAATTAATTAATCTGCCCACAGAGTATCAACCTAATTACACCCTCAGCTCTGAATCATCCTCCCCTCTCTGTCAGCTCACACTCTTGACTTAACACAAACTCATTCACTCATTCCAAAATAAATGTTGCTGCGTTAGGAGACCTGTGCTCTATCTGTGTCTGTGTGTTTATGCATTTTCCTATATATCTGGCACAGATAATTAAAAATATCCTTTCTGACTATCATCTTTTAGAGCAGCGTGAACATTTCTGTTCCAAAGTGCCGTATTTCTAAATAAATCCAAGAGTTTATTTTCACTTTTCACTCTGTAGTTTATTTTTTGTACTTGTTATGTGTATTTGCTATCTGATTTATTTGAAAAGAGATTAAGATATTTGAGGACAGTTAAAGAAAACTGGAACACTCATACATTCCCTGCCTATGGCTTTTATAAGAGAAAGAAATACCATTTCCCTTTTGCACAGGCTGGTACAGTGTGGAGAAATCCAATCACACCAAAAAAAAAGCTGTGTCATTGCCTGGGATATACTGATACAAAACATGTTAAACCTATCCTGTTTGTAAATTCTTACTTTTAAACACATAGGATGACAAATGGGTCCGTAACCCACATCTATTTATCATGTCCCTAGTCCTATTATCCCCGGTCGGAACAGACTAGTCTTCAATGTGTCAATATTGCACAGAAAACAGTTTCTTTAAAGAAGATGAAAAGGTCAAAGGTCAACGGTTTGTAAGCAGGGTTTTTTCAGATGCAACCATAAAAGATCGGAAAGTTTTCATAATTCAGTATGGACAATTACGTTTGGACATTAATATCTTACAGATTCAAGAACCTCATTAAGATGTTTTCTCAACGATCCCATATCCCATGAATCCAAATCACGATTAGCAGTCTGTACTCAGTGAAGTTCAGTGAAGGACAGTAATAGTTTCAGGCTTGACTTATTAGTACTTAACTCTCATGTCCCCTAGATGATGTAACAAGAGAAACAAAGACAACAGAGCATTATAATTTGTGTGAAGCACAACAGTAACAGTGACGGAGATAGTTGAGATCTACTAGGTGCTTCCTGCTCTCTGGATAGTATCTGGGAACTTGAGGACAATCACCACCTGAGCTAGTCAGAAAACTGTCACACACAATGTGGTCCAACAATAGTGGACAGTGGGGAGTGGGGAGTAAGAGAATAGTAGACACTTCTTTTTACACAAGTGGTTGTGAGAGTTTGGAACACATTAGCCTGCCATGTTGTTGAAGCATATAACCTGGCCTCTTCCAAGGCACAACTGGATGAGATCAATTAGCTACCCTTAACAGGCTAGATGATCTGAGTGGCCACCTAACACTTGTAACCCGTCTTATGGTCTTATGTGAGATGAGGTTGAGTTGACGCAGTATCTGTGTGTCTCATGTCTTATTCCTATAGTTCTGCTTCTGTGTGAGGAGTGTGAACAGTGAACGGCAATAATAATCGAAGACTGAAAATGACAAAATGTAAGTTTAGAAGGGAAGTAAAGAAACTCAAAAAACAAAAAAAAAGATTTTTAACAGTGACAAAACATGGAGAGTCCTGTGCTTGTTCACTGTACTCAAGTCAGAGAACCCTGGTATAACAGTGACACAGCATGGAAAACCCTGTGCGTGTTCACTGTGGCTCCATCTGACCCGGTTTTGTAATTCTGATGCAACTAACTCTGTAATGACTTGTTTAATCTGGGCTGTTCTGGGATTTATTGCACACAGTTTATCTTTAAAAGATTCTCTCTGAAGCTTTGCTCAATTGCACCCAAAGCTCAGAATTCAAAATGTGCCCCAGAACTGCTATGGACCTCATAAACAGTTTATGCCCACATATCTGTAATACAAGATTAAAATCCTACCGCCACAGATCCCAAGCTCATGACCTAACTCCTTTTTTAATACAAAATCAATTTTCATCACTTTTCTCTGGAATGCACTGAAGAAATAACTCTGGCAGAAGATTTAACTTTCAGATCAATTGTTTTACATTGTTCAAAAACATTTGTTGCCACTTTGTGAAAGTAGAGCACATTCACCCTGGAGCAAAACCCTACTTCAGCCATCACACAGCACTCTCCGACTGCAGTCAGGGTTTCACAGTGAGAACAGAACAAATACCACTGAGGCCATGTTCAAAGCACTCTTCTTGTGCATTTTAAAGCAATAACTGCAGGATTTTTTTTCTTTTACCTCTGGTAAAAAATCCTGAAGCTGAACTATGCCTGGTATTCCTGCTTACATTGGTGACAACTGCAAAACAACACCTTAAATTCAAAAACAGAAGCTTGACAAAAACAAGTACTTCAAACGAAGCCAAGACCAGGACCAGAGAGATGAGGGAGTGGGAGGAATTCATGAAAAATTAGGAGGGTTGAGATGTACAAAATGGCCTTCCTCTCAGCTCCAGTGTTGTAGACAAGTACTGTTTTTTGCTGTACTGCTCACGAACATAAAAATATTTTTATCTTCACATGGATAAATTATCCATACTAATTATACATACTTATGTATTACTAACCTTAGAAAAAAAGGTCTGCCATGTCCCTCGGAACAGACTAACAAACAGTTTAGCTCCTCTTGGGTGGGTGAGACTGGGTCACTGTTGTGAACCAGAACTGGCTGATGAATGAACACTGGACTCAGGCGCTTATCTGGCACAGCCCTGTAGCATGTTTATCCAACACTGTGTCCATGAGGACACCAGAAAGGTTACACATCACAGGGATCTCCTCCTACTATATTCTTCATCTAGCTGCTTGCAAGGCCAGTGATCCCACGACCTCATCAGAGGATCCCAAAGGAACCAGCTTTCACAGAATGGCTAGGTATCTTCTTGCAGACCTCCATGAGTCCTTGAATTTCAATGATACTCTGTGGTAGGTGATAAATCTTAATTATCGTGCTTCACTTTTAATACAGTCCGTTTTGCTGCAATGTGTAAAATGGGTATCATGAAAAGGCATCAATAAAATGAACTGGTTGGGACCTTTGCAGTGAGATACACTTACACTAGAAGTTCTCAAAACTGACATGCACAACAGCCACAATGCATCCTGCTAAGGTATAGGAGCTATTGACACAGCCATGTGAATCCACAATGTTTTTCAAACATTCAGAGTGTGGGACTACACTCAATTGTTTTTATTTGTTCTGCATAGATAACAAAAAACACAGCAAGGATAGCATTTATGTTTTATCAGTGTGTCGCAATCATGTATATGTGTCTGCACAGAACCTAACACAAAGCATCTGCAAAAATGAAGAGGATAGGTCGCTAACAGGACAGACAACAGGCTTTTATTTGTACCCTATAAAATCCTGTAGAAATAGAAACCCCAAGCCCACCTTCCACAGCCTCCCTGTCCCCCTGCAGCTCTCTCTCAGGACTGTGATGGATAGTCATAAAGTATGCAGAGACACTGCTGGAGACTTTACCCACAGTAATCCATCAGAATTGTCTTCTTCCTGAGAAAAAGAGCATGCACAACCCCCCTCCCCACTCCCCTACACAGTCACAGCATCTCCATTACCCAGTCACACAAATCCCACGTTCCCATCCCCAGATTTCCCCCTTAACTACCTCTCAGCCTCTCATTATGTCTACCTCACTACTATCCTTACCCCCTCCCACTCCCACTCCAGGCTTTGCATTGGTTATTTTTTTTCTAAATAGTAGCGAACACAGACTGGCTCATGTTGATGAAGCATTTTGTTTCATTCATTCCAGCCCAGCTCTTAATGACCCAGTTCGAGTTTTAATTTATTATGGCTTAATTGGAGCAGCTTAACAGCTTTTGCTTGCTCTAAAAGGTGCTGCTAATTTAAAAAAAAGATCAAGAAGACCAACCCTATGTTCTGAGCCCATCTTCACTTGACTGTGTGATTAAAATCCTGCTGACGAATCAGACGCAGTATCAACACAGATCAAACACATTAAATCTTGGATGATGGCGAGTTAACAATTGACATTTCATGTTTGCTGTGTTATATAATTGCAGACCATCAACATGTAAGGTTGAGGCACAGAACTGGATGACAATCTTGTAGTTAACATTTTTGAAGGGACAACGAAAATCTTTCTGCATAATTAGAAAGACATTTTCAACAGCACATAGAAACTCCTGAAAGGCATCCTGAAAGCTTGAAAGTAAAGCAACCTTTACATACTGTATCACTTGTGCAGTTTTACTATTCGGAGAGGCAAATCAAGGTAATGTGATATGTAGAATAGGTAAATGTTTTAGAATAATGTGGCATAGCCTCTCCCCTTCAGTGCCTGGCTTTTATCATGTGTGTGGATTAATACCCCTAGGGTGCACATTAGCAGTATTTAGAAGCTACTAATTTCATGTACTGTCACAATTAAAACAGGCCTTATGAAGCAATTAAAATGTTAATAGCAAAATGACAGCCATGCTGAAGTACTTGATCCAAAAAAGTAAATAGAAAACTATCTACCTTCAATAACAAATCTGATTTTGGAAGTCCTATATTGTATTTCAAATTTCAATTAAAGCAAAAATATTTGTAATACTTTTACAGTGGCAGTACCATATCAACAAATAGGCTATATTAACAGCATGACTCGTTTAGTACATAGGCATCGATTCCCAGAGGCAAGGGATTGTAATAGAAATAAATTACTCTTTAATTGTTAATTACCTCTGAAATGAACTGCTTTCACCAAGCGTGAACATGACAGCGATTAGTATATATTGCTAGCAAAAATCTTTAGCAAACAAATTTGACATCTAAGGTTACAAAAAGGTACTACTGAGCTTTACAGGCAGCACAAAGTGAAGCTTGATGCAGTTAAAAGCTTCCTACCTTTTTGGCGCCAGTCAGAGCTGCCTTCTGCAGTTTGCGGTAACAGTACTTGGCATAGGTGCTGATGGCCACACCTGCAGAAAAGAGCAGACACACACTGATCAATACCAGGCTCACACAATGGTGCAATGTAATGTGCTGCTTCATGTATTTTTTCAGAGAAAGACCTTTATGGACAGATTGAGCAAGTGTCTCTCAGAATTAAATAAAATAAAAGAAATAATTAAATAAAAGAGAAATAAAAGCAACTAATATAAGACAGCTTTTTTTTTTAAATTCGGGTTTGAAGAACTCAGTCCCACTCAATAAATCTGCACTCAAACTACATTCTCAATCCAGCTGTAAAAAAAAATTGCATATATTGCTTTAAATATTGCATCCACATAATCCATATTTGTGTCTTGCCTTTGAAACAGGAAATATAGTTTTAATTACACATGAGAGCACAAGACAATTCACGATACCCCAGTACTGCTAGGATAGGGTTGTCTTGAATAGGTCTACAAAAAAAAGAAAAGAAAGCACACCTATAGGAAAGCTATGGAGGTAGTATCCAACAAAAAAACATCAAAACAATAAAAGGAACAAGAAGCACAGCCTCTACTTTTGTAACGAACAGTTCTTTCCGGACCCTATGCGGACGACACAGTCCGACGGAGTGGGGAAACACTAGGGAAACGTCATGCAGGAAAACGGGGCTGAAGACAGGGGGGGCGTGTCCAAGGTGCGCTGGTGCACGGGGGAGGTGTGGCTGAGGCGAACAATCCGAGAGTAGTCTTTAGGGAAAATCCAAAACGCAAGGGTAAGTCCAAAACCAGGAGATCCATCAGAGCAAGAATTAAAAAACCACGAAGGTCGGGTCGGAACCGGCGGACGGGGAACGGGAACGGGGACGGGGATTAAAACCTTAACGGGACCAGGCGCTTCCAGGTCCCGGACTCGCACGATATGGAAATCAGATCCAGAGCCTGGATGAGCGTCAGCGCCTGGCTTTTAAGGTGGGCTGGGAATAGGGAACAGGTGCAGAGAATAAAGTCTAGTGAAAGGGCTGGAGCACCCTTAAGGAGGGGGAACTAATATCGTGACAAGTTTACTATATGCTAGCCTTAATCAGATCCTGGACAGGCACATCTGGCACGTCACCTAACATTAATCAGTTGCAAAACTTACTACATAAAAAGATGCCTAGTTTCCCCAATTATGAAGTTAAGCAATTGAGTTATAACTGTATGATGTTATGACATCATTGAGCCAAAGGTGCATGTCCTCCTGAAGGCTTTTTACACTGTTATGGAGCAGAGTGTGTCCTCTGGCTAGCTGTGTGAAAAAAGAGAAGACAGTGCTTGCTGGCCCTCAACACCTCAACCCCCCTCCTCACCCCAACATTATACCAGCACCAGCCTGACCAATGGCTGGAAGGTACAAAATAGGGCGAGGACATACAAGGCAAAACAAATATGCAAAGACAAGAGTAAGCCATTTATTTCAGGGTTATAATGGGAGTCCATGTCAATCCAAACTGTTTGGCATGGGCTTGCCACAGCACTGCCATCTATCACATCATTGTAAAATGTGGTTTAAAGCACCAAATGTGAAGAAAGAAGACAGGGCAACATTGTTTAATTCCTTCCAACAATTGTCATTTGTCAATTTTTCAATTTTATCAACAAGTCTTTTATTACTGAAGTGATTTCCAGTAGTAACAATAGAAGGTCAACTTCTACTTCTACTTATAATGGTCTGGCAGTGGTTTGGGTTAGAGGTTTGGGTTATTCATTTAGAATATTGTGCACAATTTCGATCATCAGGTTTCCAATAAAAAATATTGCTGCTCTGGAATCATACCAATACATTCTCTATATTGAGGGATTGTCCTATAGTGACAGGCAGAAGAAAGTGTACATTTTTAGTCTTGAAGCATCTCACCGCTGTTCCCTCAGTTGGTAAAAATATCATGGTGTGTTTTTGCTGGTTTTGAATTAACAAAATGAGTTGGGCATGGTGCCACATCAAAATGGATAACCAAAATGATACGTGGTTCATTTCGTTTCTTGAAAGAAAATGTTGCAAAGTGTTTTTTTAATAGAAAAAGTTGACAAAACACAAAAAAGAAACATCTAAAACCGAGGGTGAAAATAAGGTGGGGACAAATATCATAGATCCATGTAATCAGAAGCTTCTTCTACAACCTAAACACAACACTGCATAGGAGGATTTTTGTGCAGTCTATGGAAGAGACATACTGTACAGTAGTACATTACTGGAAGCACATCAACCCTTCAGGAAGTCTGTCTGGATAAGATTAGTTATCACATGTACTGAATGTTTCCAAGAACCTTTACACACACCATTATGTCTATGTATAATGGAGATAATGGCCTATAGCTACAGCATCCTAATAGGTTCTTGTCTGTTATAAGTAGAAACAAAATTAGAGCTCAGGTTTGATCTCTGTGAAAAAAGTATTGTTTTTTGTTATTGTTTCTAAAGGCAAAAAAAGTGTTTTGTTATTCTTTCTAATGGCAAAATTTTAGTTTCTGTGAAATTCACTTTTTGGTTTTATTTTTTATTCAAATGGGTAGCGAAAGCACTATGATTAGTCCTAGCTAATCTCCCCCAACGAATGATGATTCGTTTTATGCTTTCATTATTTTAAATCTCTACAAAATCTGTTAAACACTCATTCTGAAGTAAAAAGTTTAAATGCTAATATTTAGCACAGGTGATACCTGCAGCCTGATGAGTATAAGGACTGGAACTAAATTTGTAGAGCAAAGAGGGATAAAGAAAATCATAGTCAATGAGACTATATATTTTGTGATTTAATTAAGGAAAATCTAAAATCTTTAAAAAATAATAATTTCTTTACAACAGCCAAGCACAACTTATTTAAATCTTGAGTATGCGAAGAGGTTTGGAAGTATTTAAAAGAGAGACATACTTGGCACTGGATTAAAAATCAATTTAAAGCCAAATTAAAACAGTTGTCTGTATTTTTCTTAAATCAGTCTTATATAAAACACTGTACCAACAATTTACATGTTCTGTAATATTACTTTAATATTTAACTTAGGCATCTTGTATTTTTGTTGGTTTAAAAACAATAAAATACTTGTAAAAACTAGTACTGTATGTTCTCTGGAAATCTGGAGATTCAATGTTACTTATTCAAAATCAGAATTGATCTTCAGTGTCAGGGCTGGAACCCCTTTATCTCTTCATTAACCACTACAATACCCTTCTTTGTTTTGTATCACTGCAGAAGAAACTTTATGGAGTTTATTCTGAAAGATGTGGACAGCAGTGGAGTTGAGAGACATCTCATGAACTAAAGTGATTTGGTCCTGTATGTTGTATAGAAAGATCTACAGTAAACATTTAATTTTTGTGATGACTGAATTCAAGACACATGTCCCAGCAAAGCAGTAAAGCTCCCCCTGTGGGAGTTGGATATATGTAACACGTCAGTAACAAGCAGAGGAGAACGGAGGAGTGCTCATGCTGAAAACAAAAGCTCAGATTGTGCAGCACAGCAATTCAACAGTGAACTCTCAAATACTTAAACATTCAGTACAACTTCAATCTAGAAATCAGAACAAAGACAAAATTATTCTCACTAAGCTGTGAGAGAAATGGCAGCTCGCACCTCAGCTGTGACCCTCACTGCCAGACCCATGACACAAGGACATCAGCTTCAGTGCCTCTGAACCAAGATTGAAATTCACCCCCACAAGTACACAAGAACATTCATTCTCGGGCAGGGGGTCCTGTGCAGCTGTCTCAGGATGTACAAAACAATACCTCCCTCTCTCCACATTACCAGAACAACTTGCAGAGTCACACTCTACTCTGAGAAGAAATCCAGGAGTGCACTCCCATAGCAGGCTTATATGCAAAAGAAATAACAGACAGACATAATAAAACACAGCTCTGTCTGAGAGTAAAGCAACAAGTCCAGCTCTGTATCCATCCAACTGTGATACAAATTCATGTTTCTTGTTGAACACACTGAGAACTTCACATTCTAACAAACTTTCCACATGACTGCAGAACATTTTTGTGTGCTGTGGAGCCAGATAATTCAGAAGACCAGGAGTGCTCCTCTGTAATACCAAGGAACTGCTTCTAATCTTCTGGATGCCTAGACACCTGAAGGCTGTCTCTAATAGAACTAAAGTAGCCTGATAACCTCAGAGTGTTTGAAAAAGAGAGGGCAGACATTTTCATAGAAGTCTCCCCTGGTACCTTCGAGCAGGTTGACAAGAATATATGACTGATCGGTAGCCTCAGTCCTCCAATTCAGTCAGAAGGTCTTAAAGGGAGATATCTTTCTCAGATTTTCTGATGCCATTGTTGTTCTGTCTCTGGGCAGCCTGGGTAATATCGAGGTAATCTGCTACTCTACTTCTTTATTAGCAGAGGAGAGCATGCAGCACTCTTCTCCTTGAACAAATGAACGCAGCACTGAATGGTTCCATGAGACCCATGAGCCTTCACATGAAAATGAAGGTGCTTCCTGGCCTTCTAACCTCTTGTTCTGTGGGAAGGCTGACCAGCTCCATGGTCAACACCCCCTACTGTTTATGCAATGTTCATGACGAGGGTATAGTCACATAAAACACTCTAAGCAGTTAACATTTGTATTTAAGGAAAACCAGCATGCTCATGGAGCGGGGAGGGTGTTTCAAGAGTGCTGGTGCTCCTGATGGGCTCTGTTTGGGTCAGCTTTGGTGCTGACTGGCTCACTAATGGGCTTCCAGCAGGAGGGGTTTAATAGAGTAACGCACAGTGTTGCGGAAACCCACCTGCTGTTTAAGCCAATTAGCTGGGAAAGACTGCAGATGAAAGACAACACGGAGCAAAGCTCTTACTACAAAGGCACACAATCCACTGCTGCCAAACCAAGACTGCATACTATGCATTTTCCATAGTCCACTATTCACTTTCCTGACAATCTCCAAAAGAGAGCTTACTGTGGCCAATTTGTTATTCGTGTTTTTTTTTTCATAATATTTGAAAGTACAAATCTGCAAGAATGAAACACGTAAAGAACCTTGAACAGTCCAGATTTCATTAGCCAGGTGACCTACAATCTCTATCAGAGCTGCCACCATTTTGAAGAAACAGCTATATTTAATAGTGTTCAATATTAACTACCATCTTTCTAAGGCAGTGCTACTGTGCTGTTGCCGCTTCCTGTTAGTGTTACAATGCCAATCTCATATGTCCGTGTACAAAACCTAACTAATATGTATTTGTACAATACCAATCTAATATGTCCTTATACACCTCAACTGACTGAGCAGAATCTGCAAGAGAGACAGAAGAGCCACAGCAATGAGTGCGAGAAGCAGTCAGAGATTTGGACAGTTCAGTTGGGCCTCCTGGTCTGTGCAGACAGTACTGAGTCAGAGCTGGTTCACACACAGAATGCAGGAAGACTGGAAGAAAGGGGGATATCAGGGGGAAACACATAGTAAACAATTCAGAGTGAGGAAAGGGTGGTGTGTAGCAAGTGTGAGAAAGAGACTGAAGCCAAGCTTGGAGACAAGTGAATGTAAAGGTGAAAAGAATAATTCATAATTTCAAGAAAAATCATACACAGTCATGGTAGACACATTCTCTTTGGACATTAAAAGAGGAGATGGCAAGGGATCTCTGAACAATAAATTAGTGAAAATAAAAACAAGAGGTACAGTACTTCTTGTACAAACGGTTATATGTGTGAGGTCAGCCAGAAGCAGGATCCTCCTAGAAACAATTAGATGCTACAAGTAACCAAGTGTGATCTCAAATCCGATCCAAGCGATCAAAGTCCTGCAGTGGAATAGACGAGAAGTGCAGAAATTGCCTGCCACTGGTCTAGTAGAGCAATTCCAGTCCTGTTCAAGGACAGTTCCAGTCCTGTAGTAACATAGACTAGAAGAGCTAAGGCTGTCTTCCTCTGGTCTGGAAATGTGATGGAGAGCCCTGATTCAGGACAGCACCTTTCCTGTAGTAAGACAGACTAGAAGAGCTAAGGCTGTCTTCCTCTGGTCTAGAAATGTGATGGAGAGCCCTGATTCAGGACAGCACCTTTCCTGTAGTAAGACAGCCTAGAAGGGCTTAGGCTGTCTGCCTCTGGTCTAGAAGAGTAACAGCTATTCCTATTCCATGACTGCAGCAGTGCTGCAGGTTTGATAATGTTAATCAAATGTTTGTACACACTCTTAGCATTTAATAAAAAAGTTTCCATCCTATTGCTTAACAATCAAGAAGGAAATGTAGATACTGTATGTATATAAAATCCCTCTCCCCATCTGTTTTTTCAGTTTCTGAAATGTAAGCTTTTTTTATAAACAGGAATCATCATCAGTGAGGCTGTAGAATTAAATAAGATGGTGGTTTTGATCAATTAAGTCACAAATTGAGTTAATTAAGGGAAAGCATAGCTCAGGTGAAGTGAAACTAAAAGCAGTGATTGTCCTTTAGATGTTGAGAAGAATTCCTGCAGTTTCCTTGCTTTATTTCCTTTCAGCACCTAAGCCTGTGAACATCACACCAGTCTGCTGCTTTGGACGGGACCTCTTACAGCTCCTATGTGTCTTTCATAATGTAGAGCCCAGAACTGAAGACAGTACTCTGTACAATGTGAAGAAAGGCTCCACACAAAGTTACTTCATTACCTGTACATTTGACAACTCAGATCTGGTCTATTTAACATATGTGCTAGTGACATATTTCTATACAGTCCCGGAGTGTATCTTTCCACTGTTGCTGACAGGTGTCGCACTGGTGGAGGAATATTGAGGGCTATGTGTTGAGGGCTCAGAAGCACTTTTACACCTGTCACAGGGTCCAAAAGTCAGTGACATACTGTAAAACACTTACACAAAGAGTTGTGGGAGTAGGGACTGAGCATATTCTTGAAACTGACATCATGGTTTATTTTTGAGAAATGGATGAATGAGATCATGGGTCATTTAGCTACTAGCAACCCAAACAATGTTCCTGAGCTCTTTCACAGGGACCAACAAATCATTATATTTTTATGTGGTCATGTTGTTTTGTTGTAATCACTGTAAATAATAAGAATTGTTATCATGGATGTTATTGGATATAATCTGTGTTGTAAAAATGGGTTTTAAGCTAAAACCTTCTACCCTCAAACACTGATAACAATAAATACGGTGTCAAGGACAGACACAGACTGAACACACATAGTTGTGGTGTAGTCTAGTCCCTATGGATTATGGACACATGGAGATATTCTGACAAAAATAAACCAGGATGACTCATGGAATGACATACCTGAGAGAGAAAGTCTCAGACCAAACCCAAAAACTAAGAGAAAAAAAGACACACACTGACAGTCACACAAATAATCAGACAGACTCACAAATATGGACATACTGTCATAGACAGAGACCTCAACTAAATTACAAATGCAAAGACAGATACTGATGGTACTGCTGACACAGTGAGACAAACAGAATGATCTATATAGACAGACCAGCACAGACAAGCAGACAATCAGACAGCTTCACAGATATACAGAAAAACTGTTAGCTACAAGAATTATGAGAGACAAGTACTAAAGCTAGACTGAGAGAGACAGTTACATATTCATCCGTCCAGGCAGATTTACACTCAACCATATTTAGGCATCACCGCACAGACACAGAAAACAGGTAAATATTCATGAAAAGGCTAGCAGACTGGCCAACAGACACACAAACAGACATACCAACAGAACAAGAAAATAGAGAGACTAAGAGCCACATAGAGACAGACTCTCAGAAACACAAACACACAGACAGACAAGAAAACAGAAAGACAGAAACTGACAAAGAAGGTAGAGGTGTCAAAGGCCTACAGACAGAGGAACAGACTGATAGTTGGAGATAGAGGCTAATAACAAGGCAGAAAACAAGAAAACACACGGGGATAGGCAGAAAGATCAGACAGGATTTGTTGATCAGGACAAATGTGACAGAGAAAGACAGAGATGCTATACAGGAAAGGCAGCAGACAGATGTAGAGACTAGCAGACAGACTGGAATACAGGGTGAATAACACAGTACTGCACACAGACAGAAAGAGGCTGTACTGAGGGACAGAGTGTGTGGAGAGGCAGCAGCCCCACACAGGAGGTGGGAAGAGCCGTACCCAGGGTGTGTGGGTCAGGGGGCCTGGCTCGGCGCCGCAGTTTGGGCCTCCTCTTGTCCCGGGCCTCCAGCAGCTCTCTAATGTGCTGCGACACTGAGAAACAGACCACACCGTCACCCAGTGCACCAAAGTGATAAAAGTGGAGCCACACACACACAGCTCCTAACAGAACCAACAGACCATACAGCACAGAGTATGAATGCAAATATAGTCTTTTCATACTATGCAAACATAAAACAGTCTCAACATAAAATGTGACGATGGTAAGGAACTCCACCTGGATTTCACACTCACTTTAACAATGAGCTGGGCCATGAAACAGCAAAGACACAAATACACATTCCACCCTCTGACAGCGCACTGAACAAGGCCAGAATTGGCACAATTCACCATAGGCCCTTTCTATAGTACAACATGCACTCAGTTTTTTTTATTTATTAATTATTCAAAATTGCCCTCATACACAGCGCCCAAGCAAGATGAGATAGGTACACGTACATGGAAACTCAGACGGTCTGAATTGAAAACGTTTCTATTTTTGAAGTGGATTGGGGTTTTCGATAAGAGGTTCAGTTAATTCTCATGGTCTAAACATACAAATACACCTTACCAGTCCTGCTAAGAACAAAACAAATCCATACATCTATCCACTTTCTAAGCAATTTATCCAATACAAGGTTGTGGGGAATCTGCAGCCTATCCCAGCAAGCAATGGGTGCATGGCAGGAGTGACAAAATATGGGGTGTGATTGTGAAGTAGGTAGGCCTCTTGCTAGAGAGGTGTTGGTTGCTAAGCAACCGCAGCTGTAGGAACATGGTAATCAAATGAGCAACAGCTGTAGGCAGTCTTATAATAAATTAAGCTATAGTAAGACCCTAGCTCCCATATCATAAGTAGTCTTTCTCAGTACTAGTGGAGCAGGAGTGCTTGTGGTGCTTTCAGTGCCTACCTGAGAGGAAGTTATGTGCTGCAAGTGAGCCGGTGCCGTGTGAGCACAGCAGCCACATTTATAACAGAAGGCTTGTGGTGGCTTTGGTTAGTGTATTAGCAGATAGCTGTTTCATTGTGCACTGTCCTGAAAGGGAAGGATTTGGGACAAGAATTTTGGAGGGAATTGGGATTTAGTTGTTATAAACGTTTCTGTTTTCCTGCAAGAGGGACAGGTTAGAGCAGCAGTTCCAGAGGGGACTGGGTTGTGCGTTTATGATTTGTGCAATAATGAAAGTATACTGGAAAGGGCAGAGTAAAAACAGCAATTCCAGAAAGGATTAGAAGATTAGAAAATCTGTTTTATATTTAAAATAAATAGTTCAGAAGAGATACTCAATTACCAGGCCCCCGGGGTGAAATACAGGGGCCCTCATTGTAGGATACAAGTTAAGGAGTTGTGGAAAGGGTTTATCTAACTACTGATCTCTGGTTGTAGGCACATGGTGAAGATGCTTAGATATGAGATACTGATTTATAGTGATTAAATAAGGCAGTAGAGTGGGACTGGCCAAACGAGAACAACCAAGTTGAGGATCTTCAAATGCTACTGTTGAAAACGACAAACAGAAAAAGAGGTGAGAGATTCACTGGGCATGGAGTCCATGAGAATGTTGTTATTATTTATTATGTTTGTAATATACTGTCTATATTGTATGGTATTACCTGTTGTACTGTGTCATCTGCTGTAATGTGTATGTCCCCAGAGATCTGTGCAAATAAGAATTCCTATGTACATGTACAGTGGTGTGAAAAAGTGATTTCTGATTTCTTA